TCTATCATGTCACCCCTAACTCTTCGCCTTTCCAGTGAATGCAACTTAAGCTTTGTTAATCTTTCTTCATATGAAAGATTTCTAATTTGGGGAATTAACTTAGTCATCCTACGCTGGACACGTTCAAGTGAATTTATATCCATTCTATAATATGGCGACCAAAACTGAACTGCATAATCTAAATGGGGCCTAACTAGAGCAAGATATAGCTTGAGAACCACACCAGCTGTCTTGTTACTAACGCTGCGATTAATAAATCCAAGTGTCCGATTTGCCTTATTACGAACATTTATGCATTGATCCTTTTGTTTTAAATTCTTACTAATCATAACTCCCAGATCCCTTTCGCAATCCGACTTCGCAATCACAACACCATCTAGCTCGTATCTTGTAACTCTATCATCATTACCTAACCTCAGAACTTTACATTTATCAGCATTAAACTGCATCTGCCAATCCTTTGACCATTTCAAAACCCTATCTAGATCAACTTGAAGTGATAGTGAGTCCTCCTCCGAATTAATTTCCCTACCGATTTTCGTATCATCGGCAAATTTGCAAATGTTGCTACTCAAACCTGAATCTAAATCATTTATATATATTATAAACAACAGAGGTCCCAGGACAGAGCCTTGAGGCACTCCACTTACAACATTTTCCCACTCTGACTTGATTCCATTTATACTAACTCTCTGTTTCCTTTGGTATAGCCATGCCCTAATCCAGCTTAATATAGCACCCCCAATACCATGAGACTCTATTTTTTTAATCAGTCTTTCATGTGGCACTGTATCAAAAGCTTTGCTAAAGTCAAGGTATACAACATCGCAATCCTTACCACTATCAACTGCCTCAACAATGCTAGAATAAAAAGATAACAAATTTGTTAAACATGAACGGCCATTTATAAAACCATGTTGCGACTCAATTATTAATTTATGTTTTTCAAGATGAAGACGAATTTTATTTGCTATTATAGATTCGAGTAACTTTCCCACAATAGACGTTAGGCTAATTGGTCGATAGTTAGACGCAAGTGATCTATCTCCTTTCTTAAAAACTGGTATCACATTAGCAACTTTCCAAAACTCTGGCACTCTGCCTGACTCTATTGATTTATTAAATATGGTAAAGAAAGAAGATAGTTACAGCCCCGTTCCTGTGCCAGGTAAGTCCACTACGGGCTCACCATAGCCCGTGCTTTTTTTAGCCCTGGGAACTTGTTCCCAGTATCTTAAACAACAACAACGAATAAAGATTCTGAGGTAAACCTCCCTCCCCCAATCCCATGGAACCCCCGACCGTCGCCCCTGTAGCCACTTTCAAACCTCCTCTCTCTCTACACCCGCATCCTCTTCCTGAATTTCATCTCCCCATCCCTCTACCTCCCCCATCCTTTCCATTCCCTATGGACATCAATCCGAATCCCTCCCCCGCTTCGAGGTGGGGGGCCTCCCCCCAGGAGGGGCTGGGCCATGACGCAATAAACAAACCTCACCCTTTGTGCCAGCGTCACTCATCCTGTGAGTGGCCACACCGCTATAGCACCATGTACAACACCCCCCGATTGGAAGAAAACCCGCTGGGTTGTTCATCCTGTCACTTGTACCTTTAAATCTAATAAAACTTATTATAACATGTCAGCCCCATATAATTCTGCTTATGGCAGGATTAGATGACCCATCAGTGTAGATTTGATCTCTATAAATTTCCTCAAGATACTTATGCCTCGTTTCTTGATGTATCATTTTGGATTTTTTCATTATCATCTGGTTGATGATAATCCTACATGATTCATCCTCCCAGGGTGGGGGGGGGGAGAACCTTTCTACAAACAGGAGCTCACGGGCTTGCTAAAAGGTGAGGTTCACCTCGCCTTTAAAAAAACTGGTGAGGTTCTTCCAGGTAGCAGACTGATCGGAAATACAATTTTCCTGTTTCCTCCTGTGAGTAACACAGAACTATTTTTTTTCTTGACAATATCATTGTAATAAAGGGGGGGGGGGTCTCTGGCTATCTCAATTGTAAGCTAAGCATTTAGTTCCCTTGGCAGTTCTTGAGACTCCAAGAATGATTGCAGGGCTTCATCTTGTATGGGTCAACCTACTCTAAGTGTTTCACCATTAATTTGTATTTCTTCATTTTGCTAAGCAAGAAACAGCATTGAAGAACTAATTTAAAGTTCGTGTGGCACCACTAATTTTTTTTTTAACACCACCACTCTAGAGTGCACCAGGGGCACCACTGTAGAGTGCCAGCAGTGTACGTGTGGCACCACTGTAGAGTGCCAGCAGTGTACGTGTGGCACCACTGTACACCCCAATGTCTTGCGCCAGCACTTCATCACGCCTCCCCCCCCCCCCCGTCATCTGTTATGATAATGACTACATCTTTGGTTGCTTATATATATGATGTTATAAGACTATCCAGACTTATTTAACATTTAATATAAGACAGCAACAGTACATTTATCATGCACTCCACAGCCATCTGGTGGGCGGCCTCTGTGGGTGGCTCCAGGTATATGACTCGTGTGAACAGCTCCACGTAAGTGGCCTCGTGTGGGCGGCCCCCAGCTGGTGTATGACCTCGTGGACGGCCCCAGGTGGTATACATTACTCACTGCATCACCTTTAACACATGGGAGACATCTCCCGTCACGTAGGGTGCAGTCGCACCTCTACAGATAATGGTAATGGCTCAAAAGGGCCACCACTCACGGGCTATTCATGCCCGTGCCACCTTTTGGGTGGCTTAATCTTCATCGATCAACCTTTAACACAGTGGCATCCTCACGTCATGGGTGGCTGGTGGTGGCCCATGATACTACCCACGATTAAGTTTTTGCTCTATGATCATGCCTCTCAACATTCAGTCAATCTGAGAACAGATTCCCAATTCCAAGCCTACTATTGTGGCTTTTACTATAGCAACATATGAAGGTGCACGTATGGAGTCTGCCTTTACCACATCACTTTGCTTGTTATATGCCGACGCTAAAGAAATTCAGTCTAATGTTTATGTGGAACCATTATCAACGAGATTTTTGTGTATAAATTGTATACTTCCCCAAGTCATAGAATCCTGCGCCGGCTGGTGTTGGTGTGCCTCACTTTCTCTATCGAACATAAGATTTGTATTCTTTTTATTTACAAGGATTGAGTTAAACTTTGCAAAACTTGTGTCAAATTCAGTTCCCAGCAGCGCGTCGCATGCATGCATGACTTTGTGGGATGTTTGATATATAGATAGATATATATTATATATATAGATGTGTGCGAGCATGTTTGGAGCTATGACGCATATAACATTTTTATGGTGTGACAACTGCAGCATGACGCAATGGGGAATGACCTCACATTATGCTGGCTGGTCCGTCACCTCAAACACACTTGCACCACACCAATGCCTATATAATCATGCGGTAATACGTCAGAATCATAATTTATTCTTACAATGTGCGCCAATGTTTAAAATCCTCTTCCGTTTTTAGCTTGGCTCATTGATTATGCACCCCATCTAGTCTCATGAACGTCTGTATAATACGTATCCAGAACCCCACCACTTGGCTTAGTATGCAAGACTCGATTAGCCTAACAGGCCGAATTTTCGTTATTTTTCAAATATTGCTTTCCAGATTGGTTATTTTCTAACAATAATAATGAATTATATTAGGAACATGAATTACTAACTTTGTTACATTAGATTATGTTAGGTTAGGTTTGATCAAATTTCAATGTTAATTTTGACTCAACATAAAATTCCAGTCATATATAAAGCAATGAAAACTATTTCGCAAGAAAAACATTTTGAAAAATGAAATATTTTACGTAAATTCGGCTTTAGACGAATTTTCGTGAAATATTTAGTTTTCCACTTTTTTGTATGAAATGAGTCTTCATTGTATTATACAGTATATGATTGCCATTTTGTTACTAACAAATTTGATCAAACCAAACCTTATGTAACTGTCGGTCATTCATGTTCCTAATATAATGGATTATTGTTAGAAAAGAACCAATCTGGAACGTAATATAATGATAATTAGTTCTGTTATGCTAATCGGGCCTTGCATGCTAGGCCAAATAGTGCGTGCCCCCACCCCCCCCGACAGACGCCAGTCTTATAATTACTAAACACCATGAGAAACACGTCATGCTTGTACTCTCACTCTCCCGTCTAGGGCACTTGTCTCCCCCATCACCCTTTACTTCATTAGATTGTTTGAATACGTCACTCGTGTCCTTGTGAGTGTACAGTTGGCGAGGTTAAGGTGCAAAACAACAAGCTGAATGTCACCTGAACCCGCCCAGCTCCATCTCTGACCTTGGCTATATACTGGCAGAAACATATTGAAGACTGCTTAAAGTCTATCATAAATCATCAGGAAAGTAATTTCAGGATCAATTGCAATTCGTATACTGTAGTACTTTATAAACAAAGTCCGTTTTTTTGTTAATACAGTAAAATGGTTTAGGAATTTAGTTAACATAAGGATGAAATTACTAAAAGATACTGGTAGTTTATTACATTTGTTGATATAGAATTTTCTCTTCAAATACAAAAAAAAAAAAATTTGGCAAGTTCTATTATGTACTGCAATATTTAGCATGCATGACTAGAGATGTTTCAGCCTTAAATTCGAATCCTGCAAGCAATCTAGATTTTATTTTTTGTCCTCAAAATTATTGCAAAGTTCACAATACAACAGTGACTTGTGTACATTCACCATAACGACAATAACAAAATATTGGGAGATTACTCAAGTGCATTTTATCTAATCAAAGCCTATGATATTTTCTACTGTAGAGTACATTAAATGTGGCCACATGTGAACAGTCAGTAGTACAAGAAAGCTTTAGTTATCTTAGCAAACATGTACTTAGAGTGCTGATGGTGTGATTTGTGCGAAGGTTCTGCACTCACCACCACCACCTGAAATGTAACTTGGAAATTCTATTTCTATGAGGCATGAATTAGGGTAACTAAAAATCCTAGGATATGGAATTTGATAATGTATTAAAGCTATATTTAAAGGTTGAAAAATATAAACGGTACAATGAGCAGGTGCTACAGGATATGTTGAATGGGTTTTAAGAAAACAGCCACTATACAACTAGCCTCTATACACCCAACAAAATATAGATCTGGGTGCTTTCCTGTGATGTAGAATTTTGTAAATAATGTCCACTATGCTATTGTAAATACCTTATGTTCAGACACCCCACACTAGGATGCACGTAGTAAAGTTTCAGGATCTACTCAGGTCCCCATATCACAAATGACAGTAGATAACATTAAGATGTTAATATTGTCATTGCAACATCAACAAAATAATATAATTCCTAGTACAGCCATGAATCGCCACCTAAATCGAACCCACCCCCTAGGTCTTGCCCATTTGTGATTATGGACAACAGCAGCTGGACTAAACCATCCTTAAATGGTTTCCTAAATGCAATCTTCAATTCATGTTGGTCCCAAACTTTTCCCCTTACTCATTGCTTACAAATTTAACAACTAAAACTTGTCAATACACTGTACATAATTAAATTATAAAATAAATTTCTCACACCCATTAGCATCAGGTATATAAATGGTCAGCAATGCAGAATTATACTTGATTTGACATTTATAATAAGTTTTATTTTATTAGATTTAGAATACATCATAACTAGTATTAAAAAAGTCAACCAACTACAAGATGTTTTGGTAAACAGGTGCCTTTGTAAGAAATAGACAATGCTAATCTAATTTCCATCCTCCGACTTATTTCGTTACGTCAAAATGAAAATAAAAATTTAATTACATCAAACTTAGATTTTTAAAAGATTTATACACATTTTCATCACTTGATATAGAGTAATTGCAAAACCTAATTATACACACAATATCCAAAGGAAGTGTGACAAATAGAGCAAATAAATAATAAACTCAAAGTTAGGTAACTACCAAGCAAATTGTACAATTGTTTGAATTTTACTACATACTTCATCACTTTGAGATGAATAATTATTTATGTATGGTATACATAAGATATTATATGTATTTTTATGTGATTGTGTGTAATTGGACATTTCTAAAGAAAATAATGAGCACTCACAGATAACTGTATTTTACAGTTTACTGTATTTTTAATCCCTGGTTTCCAGAAGAAGTATGCGATGAGCGGAGGCGGCCAGAGATTGAACGTCAGGCTGGGCATCTCTGCGGGCTTCTTCAACACCGGACAACAGATCCATGCGAAGCCGCACTACCAACGTCTCGCATACTAGCAAATAAAATTAAAATTAAAATATAATCATTACAATCCTATTACTGCTGCGAGACAACAAAATATGGATGAACAAAGAAAAATTATAATTTCAATTACATATATTAGCATACAATTTCACAGCCTCAAATGAAGATATGAAGGCCCAACAGGCACTGGGACTTGAACACCAATTGACTGCGGGTTCAAAGACAGTAGTAAAGCCCAACCCTGCAGGCATGATTAGGGACATGAACCATACAAACTGTTGTTATTACCCACACATATTACCATTATCTACACCTAAACATTACCATTATTTACACCCAACCACACATTATTACCAACATTATTTACATCCAACCACACCCATTGCTCTCATCTTTACCCAAATTCAACAAAACACACTACACTTGTGATCTTTCACAAGATACAAGACACTGAAACAGAAAGTGGACAGGGAGAGATGAGATGAATATGAGCCAGATGAAGAGAAGTAGGACTTGAGGGAACAGATGGAAACTGGAAACAAATGAGCCACAGGGCATACGAAAGTAGAGGAAGGAAAAGTAGGCGAGGACAACTCCATCCACAGCTATAAAAGCGTTACAAATTTCAAGAAAATAGTTGCACCAGATGCTATACCCAAAAATGAAGCAGTGGGTCCCAAGAACTAATCTTCCCTATCTAGAAACACACATAGGCAAGAACATCCAAATATACTTTGCATTAATTATTTCCCAAATTTACTCATATTCCTTATCATGAGCACCCATATCCAATCACACTTTTTATTCTCACAATAACTCATATTCAACCTTATACTTTGCTCATATGATCACAAATCCAAATCTCACTTGAAACACCTTCATTTCTGGTCAGTCTATTTGTGTCCCTAATACTCTCTCTCATTTTTCCAAAGTCAATCTCTAAAGTTGACAACAATTTTCTCAATTCTCCTTAAACCATTCCAGCATTTGAACAAATCCACAAGGGCCGTGATGAGGGTTTGAGCCTACAACCATAATGATGGTTACAGAGCCATCATTATGACTCTGTAGCCATCATTTCATCATTATGTATTTAAAAAATTATATCCTTTGCTAAATTTCTTTAACAATTCATATACTGTATATTGCTTCTCATATAGTATTATTACCCCCCAAAATTGTAAACTATTCATCCATTATTTTAAGTCATTCTTGAAATGCTGCACATAATTACTGGCTTTATAAAATACCTGTATACAAATACTATGCCTTCCAAGTAACCTTCAGATACAGTACAGAGATTCAGATACTTTAAATACAGTTTTAAAATAAAACAGCTAGGAAAGAGAAGTTACTCACCTTTCACTTTTTCCAGGAATTCATTCAATACAACAAGGGATTCTCTTCGCAGACTATAAAACTTTGCGACACCTGAAAAAGCATTGGCCAGTTAATGACAACAGCAAGTAACTCGCTGGAATTCACATTTCAGTAGCTATGTAAACAGTTAAATTTGGAGATCATAATATCAAAATATTTTAGGAACACTTCTAACAATCAAATCACATACTTACCTAAACAGTAATTGAAAATTTTGCAAGAGTGGTGAATGAGAGGGTCAAACAGAGGTGTCCCTAATGAAGCTGGAAGGTCTTTCAAGAGAAAATGTCTACTCCAGAAGTGCTTCAATGCTCCAACAATACTTAACTGTGTCTTGCGTGGAACGCGTGACACACTGTTATTCAACATTTCCACAACTTGCTCACTATATTTTTCTGTAAAATAAATGTTAAATTAACAAGAACATTAAGTATTATTTCCATGTGATTAAATTTCTTTTTAAGCTGATAATGATAAAAGTGAAAAAATATACATTATGGTAATCAACACACTAATCTACGATCTTTCAGTTTTGCAACACCGACTCATCTTCTCCTCTGGCGCCTATTTCACTTTCATAAGACATACAGTACCCCTTTGCTATCTATAATTTCCATGTTCACAATATTTATTATCTATTGGATAGACACTAGATACAGAAATTTCCTAAAAACTAGGTGATTTAGGCATTCAAAAGTTAATGCTGTTTTATTGTGCTTATAAAGCATTTTTTAAATTACATTCTTGCCAGTTTGTATGTGTTTAATGCACTTTTTGGATTACCGTATAATTTTGTCATGGAACTCCCAAAACATTCTGCAATGACTGCTGCATCCTGAGAAATGAACGGCAATGTTTACTCTGGTCTACGTCAGTGGTAACAGTACAAATCTACTTTATGCAAAAATTTATGTGGCTGGGAGGGCAGGAGTGCTTAGTTATAATGTTGAGACAGTTGTTTTATTGAGTAGAGTAGAAAATAGTTGACTTTAGGTATCTGGAATGCATCCATATTCTTACCAAGCATCCTTAAGTCTGATATTTGTAAATTTGCATGTGCCAAGAATACATTCTTCGTAAATTTTGACTATCATCTATCTCTACCTTAAGAGTAATACAGTACATTCCTCATTCTGCTTGAGTGCACTTAAATGACATATCACTTCTAGTTAAGATAAAACCTGTGAACATTTGAGTTAAATGTTACAAATGATCAGTTTTATGCAAGTTTCTATGCTGAGGCGAGTTGTTATTTAAACAATGTCACGTATTCCTAATTTTGTAACTAAAATTGACCTTAAATGCACAAATATTTAATAGGAAATATATTTTATATGGAAATTCAGCTGAATCATACTACCAAACCAATCAAAATTGACTTTATAAATAGTTGTGTATTGCCATTTTGTGTTAAATTTAAAAATTGCAAGGTACACAAATTAATGTACGTAATTTTTTTTAACAAGACCCTTGGGGTTTTAACACATCTATCCTATTTTTCCCCCCATAAGAACCTTAACAAAATGCTATGCAGATCAGTTTAACAGAGTACCAGGAACACATCCTATGAACAAACAGAAGTTTACTTAACATAGTACAGTACTACTCCTCAATTATGGTCAAGATATATTCCTGCAGGTATTAATCACATTCTTAACACTTTAGCAGTTCAATGAGGCTAAAATGCATCATTTGTACTTCGAAAGTAATTGTTCTGATGGTGCTAAAACACACTGTCCATCTTGAAGCTTTAAAAAAAAAAAAAAAAAAAAAAAGAAGTGAGAGCATAGCTTATAAGGGGACCATCCACAGATCACTTCGGCAAACCAGTGTCACTCAAGATAACAATCCTCTGCTTGTAAATATTTTCACTGCAATTTACAGATTACTTGCCAGAAAAGTATGAAAGCCATTATGTCTAAACCCCACATCAGAAAACGAAGAAATGATGACATTTTGGTCAGTCCTGGTCCATCATCAAGTCGTCTTTTCTTTATATTCTGATTGTGGTTTGGATATCATATCATCAGCTATGCTATTGTGCCATCATCTGCATATGAAAGTTATGTTTGTTTTCTTTTTACTGTGATACAGACCTATCATCTGCACACATTTCCACATTTCTATACAGAATTTATATTTAAAATAAATGAGGAGTGTTGAAATGTTCATAACCATTCATATAATCAGCACCATCATACAATGTATTATCAAAACACATTTTGTAGTGCATCTACACAAAGCAAATTCATTTGCAAATATTTTGACACCAAATTTGTAGTTATAACCCAAGACCTGAGAAAACATAAAAAGAATATACAGTACTGTAAACATTTTAGGGATCAGCGAGTGTGACCTAGAGATGCCAAGAATGTTTGTGGCTGGGTATGCACCGACGAGTCAGAACGTTAGTGCTATTGATGGAGACCAAACTCAACCTTTGATATGCACCAATTTACACAATAACCAACATCACTTCTCCTATTTACTAGTTTATTCCTTCATTGCTTCATTCACTCTCAAAATCAATATTGACTTTTTTTCAGAATCCACCCAGCTGGTTTAATTTCATAAGACTGCCTCAGTAATACTTATTTAATTTAATTACTGTATCATGATGCATATGCCAAGATAAACAATGAAAAGGCTAGAAAGTTCTTTACCTGTAGACTTTTATTTCTATTTAATAGCAGTCACAAAATGGTGAACTATAGTACTATACATGGTACTTTAAACAATGTGGGTACGAGTGTACAGAGTTAAAACTTTAGGGTATTTTGTAATTATATTGCTGCCATATATGCTGATAGTCTAGGAATAAATGTGGCATGTCAGGATTAGATTATTGGAGAAGCAGCAGAGTACAGTAATTCCAATACTGAATACTATACATCAACAGCAGCTGGACAAAGAGAAGAATTGTGAAGAATCTTTCGAATCGTGAAGATCATCTTAGATGACTTATTTTTATTTACATAATTTTGGCATCTGGATCATTTAATGTTTCATATTCAATTTCCATTCTAAAAAACAACAATTACAAACATTTGAATGTTGACAAGCCTACCTTGGGTATCATTGGATAAAGGCCAAGCTCTCCCTAAGGAGTGTACCATCTCGTCTATAAGGTCCCACCGCAATGATTCTTGCTTTTTGTTGTGCTCTACATCATCTGCGTCTTCCTGATCTTGCTTGTCCTGTATATGGAAAGGCACTATATTTTACTCTGTAATTATCAACCATTTCTTTTTGGTTAAATCCTGAATATACTAATGTGGAATCTTAAATAGATAAAATAAACTGATATGTGATTGTGCAGTTTATGGAGTAAACAAGATAGGCAGCTTTAATCTTGAAGGATGATTCAGCGAAACAACTGCCTGTTACGTTTAGGGTAGCGACTACTTTAATTTCAAAGCAATGTAGGGAATTAAATATTTTTTGTTTATAAGATAGCTGGATATATTTTACTTAAGTGTAACATTACTGTCAGAAAATTTGTAGTAATAATGTTTCCCTACTGGGAATGCTTTGTAAATATTGTCACTAGCAAACCAACAGAAATACAGCTTCGTTATTTCAGATTTAGGAAGCATCATATACATTTATATGGTCATTTTGCACCCATAAAAGTAGGCCTTTAAATAAGGTGTATGTATAATCAAATTACATTCGAACAAATCTGCAATACTATACTTTGTAACCATTATGGGTCTAGAAATCTGCAATATTTTATAAATATCCATAATTGAATTTTAACCTAAAAAACAGATTATTGCTCAACTTATTGTGGCTGACTTTGGTCTCCTCCCCACCACCCATTCTGAATTCCCCAACCAAGCCTAAAGATGTCCTGTACCTATTTTCTAACTTGATATTCAGTTTTAACAAGAGAGAATTATTGATATTTTTCAGTAATTTATGGGAAGCAACTTATACTGTTATGATGAACATCTAATTCAGCTGTTCTCCACATCAACAGTCATTTGTGTCCACCATACAAATGAGTGCACACAAAAGAATACAAAATATCTGGGCTAGACAGCCCAGATAATATTTTGGTTTATGTAGGAAAGGTGCAAACTGCAAGACTGCCATACTTTATGTTTTTGGAAATTTAGGGGTCTGTCTCATCTTGGCTTTCTCCCTCTGCTCGGTCTGGCTTGAGGCCCAGCCTGGCCTGGCCCTAGGTCTGGTCTGGAACGAGGCCTTGCCTGCCAATCTGCTCACCACCCACCTCTCCCCTAGTGCCTCCCCCCCCCCCTACAACTCCCCCCATCCCCACCTGTGGCCTGCCAACCGCCCCTTCCCTCCGGTTTGCTGGGAAAATTTTATGATTTAATTTGTTTGGATTCAATAATGCTCATATATGTAACATTTTATACCAAATTGTGTGTAAGTACCATAGTCATAATGAATAATTTATAATAAATGTATTTTTTTGTGAATATTTATATCAAGACATACAGTTGGCTTATGCAAATCTTGGCTATTATGTAATATTTGCAACCAATAATAAGTCACAGTTTTGATTTGGATATGGTATTACTCACCAATGATTGCTCTATAAAGTGCCATTTTCAAAATGATAAATACATAAATCATTTTTTTTATAGTGGATGTAGGCCGCCCTTTTTTTTGGGGCCCTAGAGGGGAAGGGATAGCCTGGGGCAGACGGGTAGAAATAATCCTCGATGGAACGAATCGGCCTCGCCCCATATACTTGGTTCAAACAAGGACTCACTGTAACTGATCATATGTAGTGTAGATGTGGCATCCATCACCTGAGCAATGCTGGGTACCAAAGATACATTAGCTCCATATATACATAATATATATACAATACAATATGTCTAGCCTTCGCTGGAAGTAATCTAGCGATCCCACATCCATGTTACCCTGTAATTTGTTCCATAAATCAACAACCCTATTTCCAAACCAGTATTCACCCAGGGCCTTTTTAAATTTAAACTTAAAAAGTTTAAACTTAAACTTGTTCATGAATTTATGTCCATTCCCAAATATGGTAACCAAAGCTGAACTGCATAATCTAAATGGAGCTTAACAAGGAAAAGATAAAGCTGAAGAATAACAATACTGTATATGTCTTATTGGTTTGTTTAATGGTTATCAATTACCAAATTTTCAATTAATAAATATTAAAGACATTTAATACTTGTACTAACAAAAATACTTACAGGTGTCAAATATGGGAGACAGATGTCAAAAACTTGCTCAAATCTGTCAATGTGGTAGGTGTCTAAAACTGTAGTGAGGGCTTTTATGGCATGGATCTTATATTCCATCTTCTCCTTGCTGGCTTCCCTCGTCAGGACATTCACTACATCTTCCACTAACAATTCATCTCTGCTTGGGTGCTTCAAGGTACCTAGTATTGATTTGGTGTGCATCGCTACATTTGAGAGTGCGGTTACAAGAGATTCTTTTCCAATCCATGTTCTGCCTTGTAGACTGTTGGTGAGAAGAGTGATCAAGGAGGTGACAAGACTATCATTCATACTTGAGCCAAGTTTCTCAGACATTGTTGATAAGGCTCTGCCAGCTTGAGCCTTCATTGCCCAATTTGAACTTTGAAGAGCTTGCTCACAGATCAAAATGATTTCATTTAAATACAGCCTCACTCCTGATTCTGTTCCAGGAGTATTATCTGACCAAATTTCTTCCCAAATTTCAACACCACTAGGATCACCATCAATAGTTTTCTCTGCATGCATAGCCAAAAATGCCAGTGGCATAGCTTGGCAAGCATGTTGTTTCATAATATCACTATTTTGAGCATGCATACTGCGGATGGTGAGGGCACCACTCATCCTTACAGTATCCTCATCTTTCTCCAAGTACCACAACTGCAATTTTGTAAGAATCTTTTCTATACTAGAAGCTTTGGCAGTTTTAACAAGATTACCTATAGCATTGGCATATACCTTCCTCACCACAGGATTTCTATCACTGAGACCATTAACAAGTGCAGCCAAGAGTTTCCCTGTGTATTTTTCTAAGGGTGCAGGACAGGTATGGGTTAATGTCTCTACAACATGAGCAGCACCGGCACGACTTGCAAGACCAACAGAGCTCTTGAGAACATCCACCAGACCTACTACTAATTTCTCCATTGCACTTTCATCAACAAATTGCAAGACATAATTCAACGTGTCCATCATTGGTGTACTTCGTGCTGCAGCAACTCGAGCCACATCCAACTTCTCCCTGTCATCATCATTTAGCCTCACAGATGTATAACTCAGAGCTTGAGACTCAAGTCCCGAGAGAGCTTCCAGAAGAGCAGGAATGAGAGTGCCCAAATGTGGCCTTACCATCGAGCCTCCCGTGCGACATAACTTGGACACGGTCTGCAGACTCACGGTTCTTACTTCACTTACAGTACTGGTAATACCTGAGGTTAATAGAGTGGGAAGTACTTCCTTGAGCATCTTCTCACTCTGCTCACCAGTACCTTCACATACCTGTAAAATATTAACCTATTTGTATTAATCAATCAATTATTTCACATGCTAAGTACCTCATAGCAGAGTATACAATTGTCAGGTGTTTAATATTGTGTATTTACTAAAGAAAAACTGCATTGGTTTCATCTGGTGTGGAAAATGGAAAAAATCTGGTTATACACGCATAATATTCACACATTTATCCATACAAAATGTGTTTTTATATCATCCATTGGAATAAATGAGACCAGGCCACATTAATCGAACAAATTATGTGAAAAGACACTAAGAACCAACACAGAAAAAGATGGAGGGGTGGTACTAGATAGTAGACTAACACTAGAGAAACATGTCAAGAGCACAGCAAGAGGAGCCGAGCCAATGCTACTGTTAGGTAATTTCAGAATTGCATTTAAATCCATGGATTGAGAAATACTTAAAACAATTGTTTATGACACACATGATACCTAAATTTGAATATGAAGGTACAAAAAAATTCTGCCAAATGGCTACCAGACTTAAAACACAAATTATGATGAGAAACTGGAGGCATTAAATATGCCCTAACCAGTAAAGACAAGAAATAAGAGGTGATGTGATCACACATACAAGCGAGGAGGAGAAAAGATAAGAGAAAACATTATTTAATGATGAATGCAGTTTCAGGACACAAAGTAAAAAAATGCCTGGGAGTGAACTCCAAACCCAACACCCCTAAGGCACATATTAACAAAATGAATAATAGCAGCATATGCAAAACCAATCAATACAGGGATGACTTAAAATTTAAGGAAGCACTCCTCCAGAATGCTAAACTTGGCATAAGTTAGGCCAATCAAAGAATATACAGATCAAGCATGGATTCTACACAAGATAAAACAGTAGCAGTAAATTGAAATTTATGCAACAAGACAAGTAGTACCAGAGATTAGGGAGACGAATTGTCAGGACAGATTAAGATAACTAAATTCAAAGACATTAGAAGATAAAGACAGGAGCCAGTATGATCACAACATACAGGATAATAGGAGCACAGACACAGTGGATAAACAGTCTTTTTCCAGGTGGGTGAGGGACAACAGGACAAGAGGAACATGTGGAAGATGGAAACACAGATGAGCCAATAAAATGTAAAGAAATACAGTACCTGTGTGCAGCAAGAGTGGCAGAGACTGAAATGAGCTTAACCAGAAGTGATGGAAGCCACCACCATTCTCATCATTAAGAACAAGCATGACAGTACTGGGAAGCAGGGAGGTCTAAACACACCAGGTATGATAGCTGTGAGGGGGCACTGGAACCAGATCTCTCTCAACCGACAACATACAGGCATGCACACTCAACCTTTCCCGTTTTCAGTCTCATGAATCCACATAATGCAAGTACAGTACTGTACAGTATTGAGTATTTATTCTTCACATTTGTATGTTTATTTGTTATGGCATAAAAATGACATTACAGTAACTTATAATGCGAGTCCATTCCTTACCCCCGTCCCATCCCAAATCCTTATCCTGACCCCTTCCAGGTGCTACATAATCGTAATGGCTTGGCGCTTTCTCCTGATAATTTACTTCACTTATAATGTGAGTACAATAAAGGGAAAGTAAGTAATTATCAAAAGAAGGCACCAAACCGGGAAGGCTATGTAGCACCATCAAATGTGCGGAATAATCAGAAGGCGCTACATATCACCAAGGATGCCAATACGAGAACAGAAACGCACAAGGCGAACGATATCAAAAGTATCCGAGTCGCCACAATAAAGGGAAAACTGTTCTCAATTACCTTGATACAACTTTTACTCAATGCATGTAATGTTTTCTCTGCTGCTTGTCTAACAGATTCTTTGATGTCATCACGCACTCTAAAGAGAGTTGTCCAAATTTCTGTAATTCTGTTTATTGCTTTAGCCGCCGACTGTCTCCGCAGTAGATCCGTGAGGGCATGGCAAGATGACTCACGTACTCTCCACATGCTATGAGTTAAGTTGCTAATGAGATCACACAGGATTGGGTCATAATACTTCTCAATCTGTAAAGAAAACAACAATTTATTCAGCTGACTATAATCCCATAAGAAAATTCATAAGTTCTCCAACAAGCTTTACTCTAGCACAACATTTACTCAGGCGATGAGCCACAATAACATGGCTAAAGTATGTTGACCAGACCACACACTAGAAGGTGAAGGGACGACGACGTTTCGGTCCGTCCTGGACCAGTCTCAAGTCGATTGAGAATGGTCCAGAACGGACCGAAACGTCGTCCCTTCACCTTCTAGTGTGTGGTCTGGTCAATACAACATTTACTGATAGTAGCAAGGTGCTTGAACCCTCTTTATTAATGACTAGCCCAATTTGATTTTACTAATTCATGATGGTGTTATAAACAAATAAGTTGCAGCACTTAATATTACTAGAAATACAAAGAAATTGACGTGGTCTACTAAATTCCGTACACTCATGAGGCACCTTGTTTGAATAATTGAAGTTATATTATAAGGTGTATATGTATGTATGTATGTATATATATATATATATTACATATACTGTACTCACAGTTTTTGCATTATCAGTGACTAGAGCATTCCAAATAGCAGCCATTGGTTGCTGGATCTTGGGTGTTGGGTCGTGCTGGTACCTATACAATTTTGGGATGATCTGGGGTAGGTATGGCTCCAGCTGGGCACCAGCTTGTGATGCAAGTGTGCCAAAACCAAATGCTGCTCCCTAGAACAATTATTTTAATTACTGGTAAATTTGGGAAGGATTGATACTGCTTGTCAAAGAGCTGTGCTCCAAGTGCTGTACCAAACTGTACTTAGCATAAGAGGTTAAATTAGATTTGGGAATACATGCACAACAATTTAATTTGACAAATATCAAAATCTAAAATTTTGACAAAACCTTGCAAGACGTAACATTAAATAACACAATACAATATATTAGGTACATAATACCTAGCCTATCAACCAGGTTCCAACATAAATGACCCATCCACTTTAGAATTTTTACTCGGGGTAATTTGTAGCCTTCAGCTAGTACTACTATCACTCTTGGCTACTATCCAACCTCTTGCAAAATTGCATTAAAATTATACAACAGTAATATTTTGTTTGTTTCACACACACTGGGTGTGCTAGGAAGACGGGACACCACGAGTGTAGCTCTCATCCTGTAACTACACACACACATTACTTTTCCAGAGATGTGTAAAAGTGTTAAAAGTATTCAAGTTAATTAAACCTTAACACATAAGATGCCCAATAAAATCTATGACTAATAAGTACTAAGAGACCTTTAAAAGAACTCTACAATCTAGTCTACATGCAGTTCATATTATTCCTTTAAATAATTACTTTTCAGTAACAATGGGGGAACAAGATCTAGCTCTTGGGCCTTGCCTCCTATGAATCAGTATTTGCTGCATTTCTCTCTCAACATTTTAGTGATCTATCATGCTCTTAAAACTGTATATGAGAATGGTGTTGCACAGTTTTGTAGGCTCTTAAAAGATCTATGACAGATTACCAGGCACTACACCCCTTGACAGCTGTATGAGAAAGAAGTATGGAAACTGTATCCAGGTTTCTAACAGAGCAGAAGATTTGACTATTTTCTTAAATTTATCCAATACATCAACCATAGTGTGACCAGTATACAGGTAGTTAGTTGACTAGATTAAAAAACTAGAGGGGAAGAGAAAAGTTGCACCATATAGCTAAAAGCAAGGGACCAGATGGAACATTGTCCCTGGAGGCAGGGACAGCATCCCAAGAGTTGAAACACACACACACTGCATGTTAGTTCTATAATTAAGCTTATGCAGCTGGTGTAACACTATGTCCCGGTAACGACGCAGTATTGCACGCTAAATTTAGTAGACAAATGTCCGGTATCGACGCAGCATTGTGCCGTTGGCAGCGGCAAATTGGCGGTGGCTTCGGGAGAGGCATGCCGTGGTTTTGGACATTATATGCATATACTCCTATAGGGAATTTCACTGCGTATACATGGATACCAAAATGTAAGACCTAGGACCAACATTGAGGTAACAAAGTTGAAAAGAGTATACCCATTTTATTGCTCTTGACGAGTGCTCACTGGGGGTAACGTTCCGTCACTTTCTCTGTTTGCTGTGGGGTGTACACCAGGCGTTTGAACTTTATATTTGCATATACTCTTGTAGGGAATTCTATTGCGAACATAATGATACCAAAATGAAAGACCTAGGACAAGAACCGAAATGTCCAAAGTGAAGAGTGTACACATTTTATTGCTCTTGTGCGCTCCCGGGTAACACGCTCTCACTTTCTTGCCTGGCTTTTGGGCTTTATATGCATTTAGTCCTGAAGAGAATTCTATTGCGAACACATTGATACCAAATTGAAAAACCAAGGACGAGAATCGAGATGACAAAGTTAAAAAGAGTACACACTTTTCAGTATTACTGCGCTCTCTAATGTAATGAAAGGTGCCTTGGGGTGGCGCAGCGCTCTCTTTTTGGTAAACTTGGCCCACTTTTATCTTGTCGGCGGGTGGAGCGCACTGCGTTTTTTTACATTATATGCATAAACTCCTGTAGGGAATTCTATTGCGAACACATTGATACCAAAATGAAAGACCTAGGACAAGAATGGAGGTGACCAAAGTAAAAAAAAGTGTACACATTTTATTGCTTTTGCACGCTCCCGGGTAACTCGCTCTCACTTTCTCTGTTTACTGCGGGTGGTACACCGGGCTTTTGGAGTTTACATGCATTTAGTCCTGTAGAGAATCCTATTTCAAACACAATGATACCAAATTGAAAAACCTAGGACGAGAATTGAGGTGACAAAGTTGAAAAGAGTATGCACTTTTCAGAATTACCGCGCGCTCCCGTGGAGTGTGCGGTAATGCCCGGACCAACCCGAAATAGTGCGGAGCTTGCTGGCGCAGAGTGCGAAAGTGTTAAGGCTACAGCATGCTCGGCCAAGTTATGTATATAAACAAACATTTATTCTAATGTTACCTTTTTAGAATTCCAAATTGAATTATGATTGGCAAGATTCATGAACTTGTAGATAAGGTCAGGCTGATTGAGGTCTGTTGCCAAAGAACACAGTTCACGATATGTCGACAATTGTGCTCTGAAAGATATAGTCATAAAATATATATATAAAATACTTGCATAAAAGATTTGTTTATAAAGAAATTTTGCAATAATCAATATTATTTATATTACAAGGACCATAAAAGTATAAATTATTATTTAGGGACTAATATGAAATGTTTGGTACATACATTAACATAATTGTTCAAGACATGTACACCCCACTACCCTTCCTTCTAAGAGACCAGACTAAGGTTTCCAAATAGAACAGAATAATTATTTTTAATATTTTGAAAATATTAATTTTCAAACAAAACGGGTGGTAGAAACTTTGATATGAACTCTCCATGAATAATTGTGGTAAATGAAGAGCCTGGGTGACCATTTTCATGAGGCAGCTCATGGATCAGTAGTCACAATGTTATGAAATAAACTTTTCAGGTATGAGGTATGCTCAGATCAAATTTAGTAAAGTATAAGAATTTAATTACTAGTTGATGTGATGGCTATAATACAGAGCAAAATCAAAAGACCATGACATAGAAGAGAATGGATTAATAAAATGCAAATGTCAGAAGATTATATTTTACATGTGGGCAGATTTTCATAAAACAAATACTTTTTTGAGCTGTCATCATTTTTCATGAACTTTGAAAAACTCTGGAAATGTGATTCCTGATATTGATTAATAGGTCAAGATTTTTTTATCTGCTTATTCCTAAAGAGACAGCACTACCGACTGTAGAGACAAAGAAAGAATGACTGGCTGAAGTGATAGTAGCATGTAAAGCACAAAATGCTATCAATAATGTAAGGAAACATCTTGATGAGTTAACTTTATTTGTAGATGACCTTTCACCTGCAAGAACTTTATCAAACTGATATATACCTTAGAATGTTTATATATAAAGTCTGCACTCATCAGATGCTACTGTGCAAGGATAAAAAGAGTTTCAGCCTGACCTTGCAGCATCAAGGGAATAATACAAAGGTAAAAGATGAAATCAAGTAACATACCCTGATGGAGCTTTGCCCAACTCTCCTTCTTGAAAAATTTTAGTGTCGTCAGTAATATTCTTGATGGTTCGTTTTCCTTCTGTTAAAGTCTGCACCAGCCCTTCAACCATGGACTGTCTTGTTGCCTCAGAACAACATTCATATACAACACCTAAGCCCTTTGAGGCTGCATCTTGAACTAAATCTGTAAACCAAAGTGTCCTTCAGAAGAGTCTATCTCTTAGTAACAAACACGATCTTTACTGTAAAAACAGACTGCAATATGAAGTTTTTTAAATGTCCATTTTATTATGATTAAATTTATACCAACATGCTATATACAGTATCTAAAATTATTTAAAAAAAAGTAAGCATTTGTTCTCATAAATTGTATAATGGAATTTTACTTTACTAGTGAATGGTTTGGAATAAGTACAGTAGGTTTAAACTGGTTACACAAGTTATATTAGAGCTAAATGGAAGTACAGTGAGTAAAGGAGAAATAAATACAGTACAGGGAAAGAAACAATGCTTGTATTTGTTCACCTACTTGTACACAATAATTTAGTAAATCAAGAGAAACCGTTTATCTACCAACTGCATATCCAAATAAGTAAATTTCCATGAGTCAGCAATGAGGCCTATATACTGTACTGTACAGTATGTATAAAACAAAAGAATAATTACAAAACTTAGAAAAAGTAAAGTATGGGAGAAAATGTTAAAATTCCTTAGATGACAGCACTTCTTTAAGATAGACAAATTTTGAATAATTAGCCATTAAGAAATTGTACTAATATGGCAAACCTGAATGAATCCACAAGACTAGGAATGTTACACACCATTATTGTCACCAAGAAGGTTCATGAAGGCTTGCTGGATGCTAGTTAGTCGTTGCTGAATAATTGGCTTTGTGCGACACCTCTTCAGCAAAGCAAGAAGCCAGATGCACGATGCCTGCAGGAAAGACCAACAAATTTAAATAAAATCTTATTTACATATGACGGGACTGGTTTATGTATAACTCTTACAAGCACAGTGCAAAGTAACAAAACACACACTATAATAATATCCGTTCAAAAGAAATCTCATCCAATTCCCATTCCATCCAAATTAAACTGAAACCACTACAGAAGAACCCTATTACCCAGATTTTTAGATTAACAAATTCTCCACTCTCCTTAACTGAATGATGTCTGGTTAATGGGGGGGGGGGGGATTCCATTCCTTTGAACCATAAAATCTTGGTGAAAAAGATTTAGAAAAAATGTAACATTTTCTTACCTAAACAAATAAGCCTATTCAAACTACAGTATTTCATAAAAATTAAATATGCAAGAAATACAATGTTTATTAATCCCAGCATCCATGTGATGAGAAAAATGCTTTGTATGACAGCAAGAGTGGCCCAAGTGTATTGCTAAAATTGTGCAGACATGCATCCATGGTATACACCAGCCCTCGTGAAAGACATCTTGAGGTTATCTTGAGATGATTTTGGAGTTTAGCGTCCCCGTGGTCTGGTCCTCGACCATGCCTCCTTTTTGTTACACATCCCCAGGAAGCAGCCTGTAGCAGGTGTCCAACTCCCAGGTACCTATTTACTGCTAGGTACCAGGGGCATCAAGGTAAAAGAAACTCTGCCCATTTGTTTCTGTCTCCACCAGGGAACAAACCCGGAACCTCAGGACTACGAACCCGAAGCGCTGCTCACTCGACTGTCAGCCCCCCTAGACATAATACCTATTAGCACTATTAACACAAGAATCATAAATAGCATTTATGTTATAAAGTGAAGAATGGCCATGAGGATGGCTGCCCAGTTTTGCCAGCAGCACTGCCATAAACCATGTTTCCACACACACACACACTTCTGTTGCACTCATTCAGTTACATCATGCCAACCAAACTATTCTATCATAAAAGATGAGGGTGTAGTGACCAGCAAGTGTTCAATTCCACAGTTAGAGCAAGTGGAACCCCAGAGCACCAACAAGTCCGAAATAGGATGGCAACTGACCGAAGCCACCAACAAACAGGAACAACAGAGGACAGAATGGTGAAGAAGACTGCAGAGCCAGGGCCCAAGACAAATCCAAAGACAGAACCAGCACGGCCTGCCGAGGCGAGAAGAGAAAATCATGGAAACCGCCTCTTGGATGATCGGTGTAAACGGCTTCAGCAAGGCAGAGGATGCTGCAGCAACTGAAATCAGAACTCCAGCCGAAGGCCTCTTACTCAATGACCCCACATCCTCCAAAAGCCAATTCGAAGACAGCTCCAGAAGACCGAAGAAGTGCCAGACCGAGGCCAAATGACCGCGAGTCCAAAGAGCCTCATCCGCCAAGGCAGCTGAAAGAGTGGGAACCTGAGCATGCAACTGCACTAGACCCACATCACGAGGAAGCGCAGGGGCAAAGAGGCACTCATTGAGGAACTCTAGCGAGATCCCCAAGAATACCTACAACACTGAAAAAACCTCCCACCACTCAAGCATGTGGGTATGACAAAAGCCATGCCAAGCTCCAAGAGAGAGAGAAAAAGGGGCAGTCTGTCAGCCAGGAAGACTCCGGAACCTCATAACGCACCCAATATGAGGAAGACAAACCTAACTCAAACAGAGCCGGATCCATCACAATGGCAAAAACCGGGTCTCACAGGAGGTATGCACCAAGAACCTCCCGACCCTCCCAGGGGAAATTTGACAGGAAGGAAGCCTTCGGAAAGACAAATCCAAAGAACCCAAAGGCACCCAGAAATAAACCTGGGATAAGGTTACACCTAACTCGAATTAACACTTTCGCTGCCACGACAGGCGACTTGCCACGCACCTCAAGGTCAACCAAGCAATGCGCGTAAATTCACGACCACCCACAATTGTTTATTCTCTTTTCAGCTTTCTGACCTCAATTTCCATGCTACGTCATTCAATTTGTTATCAAACTGTTCGCAATAGAACGCCGTAAAGGGATAGTTGCATACAAGAACATACAAGTTTTACTCTTCTATACTGTACTTTTGACGAAAACTAACTTTTCCCTCATACGTGTTTCTTTCAAAGGATTTCATCATGGATTGGCTCTACTTTAACTGTAAAATGCTCATAGGCCATTGTTCCATGTGGCTCTCTGAGGGGACCAGGTTCTGGTTCGTGATGCCCGGTAGGCATAAGAGCTCCTGTGACTGATGACCCTAAACTAATGTAGCACATAATCAGTTCGGATAGCTTCAGGGAGCCAACGAGGGCACCGCATAGAAAAGATCTTTATCCATATAGAATACTAATAGTAAACATGTTTAGTAAATATACTTCATCCTACTTAAAATACACAAATATATATAATATTTTATACACACATTATTTTTTTGTACAAACCTGTCTAACACTTGGTTGTGTCTGTCGAACATATTTATCAAGAAGTTCACCCAAAACCCACGTCAAAACATCTTTCTCAACTTGTGTGTTTGTAACTACATCGTCGCCTGTGGCAGCACCTTCACTTGTGTCCATTGCTTCATCAATATCAGGGAGAGCCTCTGTACACACAAAAAACAAACTTTTGTAAATTTATAGATATTCCTGGATATATGTAAGACTTCCCAGAGAATCTTTATCAAACATATTTCAAGATAGACTGTAGAGAATTTAATGTTTCAAATGACAGGTACATAGAGAATGACAAGGAGGAAGTGTGTGAAAAACTCAAAAGACATTTCAGGTGATCTTCATAATAGAACAAGGAGAAGTCCTTGAATTAAGAGAGGTGGAGAGAAACCAGACAGGTTTGGAAGATTTTGATATTACCAGAGATGAGGGTAGGAGGTATCTGCTGAATTTGGACGTGAGAAAGGTTGTTGGACCTGCCAATTTCACCATGGATACAAAAAGAGGGTGCGTCCAAATATATACATACAGAGGGATGATTTGAACCCCCCCCCCCTCTCTGCAAAATATGATTCTCCATGAAGAGAACCAGGAATCATGAAGTCAAACAGGACCCAAGGGCCTAAATCTGACATCCTTAAGCCCTAAAAACTGCACACAAGGGCTCCAGGGCAGAGCCAGTGTCCTTGCCCACCACCCGGGAAAGGAAAGTGGAGTCCGGGGGATTGTTTTCAAAGGAATAAGGGGCTGACAAAGTAAAACACAGTAGTCATGGCAGGAAGTGAGAAAGGGAGGATTAGAGGAAGAGAAAAACATGCCCATAGGGTAAGGAAGGAGGTGCTGCTTATGGAGCCAATGTGAAATTCACCAACACCACCACTTTCGAGTCCTTAAAGAACAATTTGGGCAGCTCTGGGGCAACCAACTGGGCACACAACCTAGACCGCTACAACCTAGAAAAACTATTATGCAAAGCAGTCACTGCCTGGGAACTCTGACCCTCATCAGGAGGGTCACAAAGAAGAGCCATATGGGGAGAGCAAACTCCCACAGGACTCGGGGTCGGTGTTACTGACCCAACAGGCAACATAGCAGAAGGAACAAATGCCGCCGTGTGGCATGGACAATGAGCAACCGTCAACCTCACACGAAGCGAGAGTAGGTTCGGAGGGAATATTCATCAGACCACTGAACCTGCAGGGGATTTCCAGGGCCTGAAGGGAAAACAGAGGCAAAACCCAGGCACTAAAATCACTATGCCAGATCTATAAGTACGCTGACATAGCCTGGGTAATGCAGCTGTGAATGCCAACCTTGGCATGCTGAGAGAAGCATGCAAACCACCAGTGGGCCCTGCCAGCCAATGTTGCTCCTGACCCTGGTTAAGGCAGACAAGTTTCAAGACACCTGACTCACCCTGGGTGAGAGCCACCACAAGTGAGGATGACCTTTAAGGGAGTGACTCCCCAGAAACTTAAGGGACTGACGACTGATGTGACTTAGTATATACCATATCAGCCAGAAGGAGCCACAAGGGGCTTTCCCCCAGAAATCAACACACACAGTTTTAACACAAGTGCTCGTAGTCCACAAAAAATAGACTCGTGGGTGCACAGCTGGACTATCCTGCTTTAACACAGCATTTACCTTCTTAATAACATTATCAAGAATTAATCTAACAATTGCCTCTCATTTCCTCAACCTTCCATACAAAAGTGGCAATGTGTGAATATACATCTAAATGTCTCATCAAACAAGTAAACAGTTCAAGAATATAAATAAGTATATAATCAATTCTGCATTTTCCTTCAACATAAATGAATTTTAACAATGCCTTACTATCTGCAGACTTCACGTAATCCTTTTCCATAGCTTCATCTGTGTCCTTTTCTTTTTCTTCTCTGCAACCCTGAAAGAAAGGAAATACAATGCTCTCACAAAGTAACCAAGTTCAATATGTTTGAATTATGAACAAATTAAAGTTTTTAGTGCAACTACAAAAAGAATACATTTGTACCCTCCAGTACTGTAATGCGTTTGAACATTCTCATTTAAATTTAAAACAAATGTGATTGAAGAAAATCATCTCAAGACTGATGACAAAACTCAGACCTTGTCAAGAGATGCAGGTTAAGTCTTGTATGACAAAAACAAGTCAGACGTAACTGAAAATCTGCCCGTCTGACAGATGGCACAAAACAACGAGTGTCAAGCAGACTGGAACCACAAGGAATGGATGGTGCTGCCACTTTTTGCTTGTCAGGGTGGGTGGCCAGATAGGCAAACTAGTAATTAATGAGAGTGCTCGCTTGTGAGTTAATTGTGGTGGTAATGTAGTACCTGGATGGAGTTCTGGGAAGGAAAGGAAACAATCAGGAGAAAGAACTAAGCCATTACAACTATATAACACTTGGAAGGGATCAGAATAAGGATTTGGGGGTGGGACAGGGGGGGGGGGTAGGAATGTTACCCAACCACTTGGATGGTTGGGGATTGAACGCCGACCTACGTGAAGCGAAACAGTCGCTCTACCAACCAGGCCAAGTGGTTGGGTGAGGGTTCTGGGAGTTTTTCTACGCCTATGTCATCTTGACTTATGAAGAGCTTGGTCTAACAGGCTGTTACTTGGAGCAGCCTGCAGGCCTACAAATCCACCACAACCTGGTTGGTCTGGCAAATCGTGAAGAAAACTATCCAGTTTTCTCTTGAAGACATCCACGATTGTTCCAGCAATATTTCTCATACTTACTGGGAGGATGTTGAATAACTGTGGACCTCTGATGTTTATACAGTTTTCTGATTGTGACCAAGGCACCTCTGCTCTTCACTGTTTCCATTCTGCATTTCATTCCATATTGTTCACTCCAGTATGTTGTTACTTTACATGTAGATTTGGGATCTGGTTCCTCCAATATTTTCCACGTATATATTATTTGATATCTCTCTCATCTCCATTCTAGAGATGTAGTATTTGGAATGGTGGAATGACTAAGATTTTATAAATATATCTGTTGGTTATCTGTAGCTCTTAAATTTTTCTCCAGTGAATCCCTCGAACCTTTAACGATCTAGCAAACACAAGTGAAACAATTCCTGTAGCACCATTGCTACAGCCTTACTATGCATAAGTCTGACTATATGACACAAAAGATCTTTACCCTAGGAAGCTACCAAATACAATACCTTAGAAAAAAAAAAATGGTGTCACCCACAGATCTACAGAAGTTCACTTTTTAATTTTTTCTCTAAATAAAACATATTTAAACATTATTACTAAGTACTTCTGGTAAGCTAACAGCCACAAATATATAGCATAATGTAGATTTCTGTGGGGAGCCCCGTCGGCTTCCAGAAGCTGTCATCACTGATTAAGTGCCATACTATCATCAGTTGCAGTTCTTTTTGCCTACCAGGGAACACGAGCCACAACCTGGCCCCCCCTGAGAGGTGTAGGGAGTGATGGCCGATGATTACTCTACATTTAAAGGATATCATCTTTGCCCTCACCTGGAAGGCACCCAGAAAGATAGGCAAACCAAAACAAACCAGTGCCTGGGTTAAAAAGGAGATTGAAACCCCCCAAAATGCCAAAAGAATTCCAAAAAAAAAGAAGACACACCATTGGATGATAAAAACTGCATGCTCTATTGTATGATAAAAATAACCGAGTAACATTAACATTTCCAAATGTGCCTGTCTGCGACCACTGAGGTCAACTAGGTATGAGTAGGTAAATGGAGCACTAAACAGAAATGTTTACAACTACACTGTATTATAAGTTTACTAACCTGTGTATTGTCATATTTTGCAAATGAATGCAGTATTGTATGGTTAAAAAAAAAAAAATGCCTTGCATTACAGTATTGTACTGTACAATATATGCTATTAATGATATTGAAACAATATTGTCTACAGACAAGCAAACTACTGTATCCAGTTTTGAAATATTGTATTTATAAATTGTACAGCTCTTTATTGTTATATGCTTTTTATATTAATTCAGAAGTTTCAAAATGACTGTTCAATTGTATGGTAAAAATTATAAATTATTTTATTTAATCTGTGTCACAAATCATACGAGTTACCTCTTCCATATTTTCTTCTACCTCTTCAACCGTGTCCTCTTTCATGGGATCCACATCAATCCAGAGATTTCTTCCTGAAGGTGACTCTGTGCCAAGAGCACAGTCTGCCAGGGACTCCCCAACAGCAAAGTGAACTTCAATTTCACTTGTCTGAAATTAATTGCACTGCAGAATATAAAACTGAAACATTAATACACTAGCATTCTCTATCAAATTAAAGGAAAAAATCTCTCAGCTTTGAGTAAATAGAAGCTCCTTTCTGAGCATGACACATGGATTCTTGTGTCCCCTTTCTCATAGCAGGGGGACCCTAGGCTAGCATGGGTACTGCCATCTGGTGCAGGGTGGATGCCAGTAGGACAAGTGGTGGTTTAGAAAAACAGAACCTGACAGTCCTAGTGATACTAAGTAAGGTTTGAAAAGGCTTCAAGTTTATGAGTGAATTTTTTGTAGCACTTGGGACTGAACCGAGCTGTTTTACAGTGATTCCATGGAATCAGTGCCGCCAAAAACAGAATTCCAAAAGAATTCTCACTTTATTGGTATGAAATTTCACCATGCTCTATACTGATCCTGACCAATGGAACCTTCATTGATATTGCCTTAGCAAGCATCAGTGTCCCTTGCTCAGAAACAAGCATTTCATATTCACTTCTTCATAGCCTGATATTTAAACCATGCTTCCTTTTAGAAATTATAATAATATAAATGACAGACTGAAAAAAAGTATATGATGCAGCAGACATAAATGAATTATGTAGGTATGGAAGTCCAGAACAGCCAGGAAAGCTGCTAAGAAACAGATTTTATGCTCAGAAATGATTGCATCTATGCAGGACTCATAAGCAAAGACATTCATAATTGAGCTACTTCTTAATTACTGAGAAATTCACTAGTATAAGAGAAGCTCACCTCCTTAGCTAGAGACAGCAGGGATTCTATAATTTTTTTCTTGTGAGGAAATTCTTGATGACCAACACAAAGATATCCAGTTGTGGCAATGGCTTGTTCCCGAACCTTAAACAAAAAATTAACAAATATTTATAGAAGATTTATGAGTAAAACTGGAAATGTAAACAGATATATTTTGTACCAATAAAAGAATTTCTTGTATTTCCTGTGTATTAATTTGCAATGATAAAATTTTAGTTTGCTATAAGTTTTAATATTTATGAATTATTCTTGAAATGAAAATACCGACAAATAAAGTTTTATTAAAATACTGTAATACAGTACTTTGCATTAAAGTATCACTTCAGTTTCTTTGCTCCATCTCTAATTCTGTCTGACAAATTTCCAGAGTACTGTTTCAATCTGCTCCAACTTAATGCCCTTTCTTAAACCACACACCGTACTGAACTTTGTACAGTTCAATAGTGGGTAAATGGGTTGTGCAGTCACACTTTTTTCCAATTTTATTCCATTTTTTGGCAACAAGCAGTGTTTGTGTCTGGAAAGTGATGTTAGTATAATGATGCTCATAAAAGGGGTTTATTGAGAACATTGGGAAAAGTGCACTTTGAGAGATCTCTGGAACACAACATTCTATCATTTAAAGTCCTTTTAGGTACGATTTTAGAGATAAAAACAACACTTGACAAAATGACAAGTAAAGGTGTCCTAGACTACAAAAGGTTTTTATGCCACACTAATTAGAAAAATTCTTAGAAATAGTAGCACAGTACACAGTACCTGCAATCTGATTGCAAAACCCAGTATATAATTTGGCCTTAAATTATACCTATGCTGCACATTAAAATACCTTAGATGGCAGTGTTTTGGTCTTGAATATCTTGACAAGAGCATTGACCAAGGCAAGAGATGAAAGTTGCTTGCTGTCCTCTTGAGCAACACCAACTGGTAGAGGCAGAGGGCTCTGCCTGGCCATCTCTCCTATTGCTATCACTAAAGCATTTTGAATGGGGCTGTTCTCACTCACCATCTGACGCACTTGTGAAAATAAAAAATACACACAGTTACAGCAACGGTAATAAAAAAAAAGCGTTGAATATTATGAAACGCCATTTTCTGGGCGAGACCCGGAGGCTCCCTGAAGCCATTATACACTAATCAGTGCCATACTAGTGTACTTAGTACAGTGGTATGGCACTGTATTAGTATCTCACTATTAATGATACCATCTCAAATAGTCATAATGAGTTACTATTTAATCTAAAAAAAATCCATTTTAAATAATTTGTATCAACACTTAAACCTCAGATACAGCTTATAATTCAGAACTAGAACTGTACAGTATATATAATATGTAGGCAGTCTTGACTGCCTTCTATGGCTGCATGTCATCAAATATAATCTCAAGAGCCACATGACATAGGGTTCATAAAAATATAAATTAAAAATTATATAAAGTACTGTATTTTGTTCAGTAGATAAAGACCTTACCTAGCTCATGAACAACAGACTCGAATGCTGGCCAGTCTTCAAGGAATACACCAGATTTCTTCATATTATTAATATTGTAAGCATAGCTGTGGCCCACTGCAAGCACGCAGCTCTCTTGGCTGTCCACACGCTGAGTGGGAAAAAAAATTCTTTACTACCCACAAGGTAAAATTTACCAATTTTATACAAAATACGGCTTTGAGTGAACATGAAGAGTATCTTTCTGAACTGTGTAAACAATCTCTGCATGATCATTTAAGGTGTTAAGGGTCACTGGACACGACCTCAGTCCAGACTAAAATGAACTACTGTATAGGGGATGAACTCTTGAGTATTAACAGAATGCACTCCATAAAAACTTGAAACAGCAAACGCTGCTCCTCAAGATCACAAGCAACCCCCAAATAAGGTATGAAATAAAGGCCAAAAGCTTACCAAATTTTTCATGTTGGTAATGTGGTACATGACCTTCTCAAACTCCTGCTGACTCTGCACTTGACCAGAAACCACACCAAACAGATGAGCTGCCACCTCTCCATAATGGCCTCCACGAAGGATAAATTTCTGTACAAGAGATGTAAAATTTGTATTTAAGATGCACTGCTCGTACCAAAGTGAATGGCTAAAGTGTACACTTGATGTATTATTAATAAGAAATGAAATAGAAATTTCAGGTATACTTTTCCATGTGCAGTGGGGGTGATGCCTTAATCCCAAGTGAGGGCATTTATTTTGTGTAAAAAATGCAACATTGGTAAGTTTTACCCAAGCATATCAAGGGAACAGTTAACAAGTACCAGCCCAATTTGTGGGAAAATAACAACACACAGCCCACATTTTGCCTCTAGCACACGCCAAGATAGATGTACTAATCTAAATTATCATCAACTTCCACACATAATACACAAAGTAAACAACAAATGTGAATGCTACAGTTGGGAAGCCATGGTGTACTTCATATAAACTAGCAAGTGGATAAGTGTCAATTATTCTTTATATAGAACATGTATACACACGTTTAAATAAATAAATAACCACTGCTGAACACAGCAACGTGAACACAACGTGAACACAGGTGTGTGCAACAACCAGCACGAACACCAGAGTAGCCTACACACATCAGTCAAGACTTGAGATGCCCTCTGTGAACATGTTTCCCTCAGAATATCAGAACCATAGATATTATATTAATTTTTAATATTTATCTTCATCAAGAGATATTATAAGACTTATAAAATGCCCTGTACCCATTAAATTTAAGGAACTCCAACTGTACAGGGAAGTAGCAGAGGGGATATCATCACTATATACAAAATACTAAGGGGAATGGAAAGGTGGAGGACAGCCTCATTAAACTGAGATAAAAAAAGGACAAAGGACATCTATGGAAGTTGAAAATATAAATGAATAAAAATAATAAGGGAGTTCTGGTGTGGCAAGTGTTTGACTGCCCAACTAGTTAAAAAATTCTCTGGGCTCACCCCCCCTAAAGTTTCAAAATATTTATTGCAACCAAAAAATGTACAGACAACAGTTGCCAGGGTCTACACAAAAGCCAAAGTAAACTCAGTTTTATGGCCTTATATGTTGTAAGCTTCAAGTCATCACAAGAGGTGCTTCCCGTATGTTGAATGTGAACCTCAAGGAACAGAAAAAATCGTAAGGTATTCCCAACTGGAGATGCCCAATTACACAGATTAAGAAGAAAAAAAAAGCTCACAGCTTACCCGTATCCAGTCCAATTTTAAGGAATAATGAGCAACAAAAAGTTCGGGAGCAACAGCTACCACTCTTAGGATTGATTCCAAGGCTGCAGCAGACCAAGCATTGGCTGCCAATTCAGCAAAGCCAATGTATCTCATGAATGGGTTGGGAGCTGAAATGGATATTTAATGAAATGGCATTAATTTATACCAATTATGTACAGTATATATTTCCAAAAAAGTTACATTAATCCAAAAGTATAATGGAAGAAACACTTTACCGTATTGTACTCTCTATTCATATCTTGTTCCTATCATGAGCTCTGCTTACCAGTAATTGACAAGCTGCTAAATACTTTGAAAAGTAGTAAAGACATGACAAAATTTAGAAAAACAAAATAGTTAAAATGAAGAATAACAAAGGCAAGCAAATATTGTCCAATACATGTTAATACAGTTAGGGACAAAATAGACTAACATAGCTCAACTTTTAGCTTTCAGTCTCAAAAATTTACTGTTAGAAAGACTTGTATGGGAAGGGGGGGGGGGGGGTTCTTCACTTCAATGTTTCATTCAAAAGATCAGGTTACATATATATTTATCAGCTGCTAAATACATTACATGCACCTGCTCCTTACTGATTTCTTGGAAATACAACAGGATGCATATTGTAAGTTGACTGTTTGCAGTAAAGACTAACACTGTTCCATGATACTCGCCTCTAACTCCAGGCCAAAAGTAGATAAAGTATACAGTACTGTAAATTCAATTACACGAGTGCAATAAGGGTTCATGTGGCCAGTCTACAATACAATATAAACAGAGCAGCTTAAAAAGAGTGTAAAAGATGTACTGTAAAGATTAAAGGTGTAATGAGGATAGTGTGGTATAAAGAGTATAGCAAGTATAACGTTACCTGGTGTCTATGGGATACGTCATAATGTACCGCCTTTCTTTTGTCACCCAAATCATTGTTTATCGAGAATTATATTATTTTACCAAAGACCTACACCGCTATTTAACACTATCCCAACTTATCAATTCATTAGACTGAAGTCAAATTTATAGTTTTCTCAGGACCCGAGTATAGTACATACATGCACTGTCAGCATACAGTATATATATGAGTGCTCACATTTTAAATTTTGGGTCACAAAATGAAAACCACGTTACTGCATGTGAAAAGTGTTGAATAAAAAACACAAGGGTTCTGGTCGGGTCCCAGTAGTACAGTCGTGTTCATCTCGACTTGCAATCAAAAATTCCGGGTGGGACAGAAATGGTTGGGGCATTTCCTATCACCTGATGCTCCTGTTTACCTAGCAGTAAATAGGTACCCAGGAGTTAATCAGCTTATTGTGGGGTTGCATCCTAGGAAGGGTCAGCAATTCGACCATGAGGGGACCTCGATATAAGCCTAACATGTACTGTATGTATATACTGGCTGCCTGTCCCCGGACCCAATGAATTATTAATTATTATAAATAAATTTTTGAAACCCAAACGTCCACTGTAGCCATATTAACATGTATTACTGTAGAAAATAGTTTCAATACTACTATTACAGCACTGTACAAATATATTTATCATCTAAGGTTGTTAGGTTTGGTGTAGGATGAGTTAAGACTTAACAGGTACGTTTTAGCAGCCAGTGTTTTTTACTGCGATACTAAAAAAAGAAGGGCTTATTATTACTATTTTATGAATACCCTTATGAAGTTCCTTGTTAAACTACTGTAATTGTACTTTTTGATATAGCTCCAGAAGACACGTTCTGCTGGTGTTGTTCTACAATCTGGTGGAGCAGTTTTCCAACGGCAGGTGGGTCGACCCATAGCAGCCCTTCCTCACGCCCACCCTGGTTGCCTGCTTCAACTTCCAAACAGTGTTCTAGATATTTCAGCATCTGAAAAATAAACATCAATACTGTACAAGAAAATTTAGTGTTTAAACCATACTTTGTTTTCAGAACATTAAGATAAAATTCCTTATTGGGCCTCTAATTTGCACACAAATCTAAGCAAGTTATCACAGTGCAGAAATGAGTAAACGGTATAATCCAGTTCAATTAAACACATGAACCATGATCACAGAGAATGTACAGTCCTGTTACCATCAGAGGTTTGAGACTTTTCTAACTACAGTACTGTATTAACAAAATGTTAGAAGCACAAGGGAAAAAATACAAACATAAAAAGATACCCAAAAGAGGAAAGCGATTCAGCATATTTTATAAGATGAAAATTTTAAATTAGACCAAGAATACTTTGTATAGTCCAAAATGAAGAAGACGTGTTAAAAGGTGACGAGTATTCGGTAGGAAATTTTGTTAAATACTGTATGTAGTATTAATATACCTGCTCCATTACTGGAAGAGAAAATGGAACTGGTTGGTTGGCAACATCATGCCATTTACTTCTTGGCAGTGAATCTACACGCTCCAGAACATAGGTAATGACAGCCGAGAATGGCGGTGCTTGAAATGAAGGAGTTCCATCTTTAGCTTCTTTGGATGCTTTATATAATTGTCTTCGTGACTCTATCCGGATGTCATCATGGCTGAAATATGAAATAAAGAACTTAAGTGCTGGAAACTAATATGCACTAATATCTCCCATTGAAGCATATACAGTACAATATATAGATCATTTCTTAATCCTGTATATGTATGTATGTATGTATGTGTATATGTGTGTATAATATTATATATATATATATATATATATATATATATATATATATATATATATATATATATATATATATATATATATATATATATATATATATGTCGTACCTAATAGCCAGAACGCACTTCTCAGCCTACTATTCAAGGCCCGATTTGCCTAATAAGCCAAGTTTTCATGAATTAATGTTTTTTCGTCTACCTAACCTACCTAACCTAACCTAACCTAGCTTTTTTTGGCTACCTAACCTAACCTTACCTATAAATATAGGTTAGGTTAGGTTAGGTAGGGTTGGTTAGGTTCGGTCATATATCTACGTTAATTTTAACTCCAATAAAAAAAATTGACCTCATACATAGAGAAAAGGGTTGCTTTATCATTTCATAAGAAAAAAATTATAGTAAATATATTAATTCAGGAAAACTTGGCTTATTAGGCAAATCGGGCCTTGAATAGTAGGCTGAGAAGTGAGTTCTGGCTACTAGGTACGACATATATATATATATATATATATATATATATACAGTATATATATATATATACAGTATATATATATATATACAGTATATATATATATATACAGTATATATATATATATATACAGTATATATATATATATACAGTATATATATGTCGTACCTAGTAGCCAGAACTCACTTCTCAGCCTACTATTCAAGGCCCGATTTGCCTAATAAGCCAAGTTTTCCTGAATTAATATATTTACTAAAAAATTTTTCTTATGAAATGATAAAGCAACCCTTTTCTCTATGTATGAGGTAAATTTTTTTTATTGGAGTTAAAATTAACGTAGATATATGACCAAACCTAACCAACCCTACCTAACCTAACCTAACCTATATTTATAGGTAAGGTTAGGTTAGGTAGCCAAAAAAAGCTAGGTTAGGTTAGGTTAGGTAGGTTAGGTAGACGAAAAAACGTTAATTCATGAAAACTTGGCTTATTAGGCAAATCGGGCCTTGAATAGTAGGCTGAGAAGTGCGTTCTGGCTATTAGGTACGACATATATATATATACAGTATATACATTAGTAATACTATATATACATTACATGGAATGAATAATAATGAGGCTTACCTGTCTCCTGTAGCCACCATGAGAATGAACCTGGAAGGAACATGGTCGTGAGGAAATACCGATGCTGCATAATTGACAGCTGTACGCCTTAGCTGGGCATTATGATGCAACACATGTTCTGACAGGAGAATACAAAGTTCATCCTGGCTTGATGTATTAAGCTGTTTACAAACAGGTGCCACCATTGACAGAGCCTCTTGCACTGCCAGCAAGACATCTCCTTCCTCCTGTGTGAGAGCATTCATTAAGGTTTGCAGGTAATGAAGCTGAGATGGATGCGACAGCAGAAGGTTTGGAAGTTTAACGGATAATTTTGCCAAAGCGCCATATGCTAGTGACCGCAGTCTTGCATCACATTTTTCTTCTTCAATAACCTTAACAACTCCACCAAAAAGTACACTTCCCACGGGAGATAGCTTGTCCTTGTCTGCATTGAATGCTATATGATGCAGAAATGTTACACCCTGTTGCTTCAACTTTGTATTTGAATTTTGTCCCCAAAGGCATTCAAAAAACACCTTCAGAGCAAGAGGGGCATAATTACATGCTTCTTTAGACTTCAAAAGGTACGGCATGAGCTTTAATCGAATTCTTGTATTAGCCGGGTTTTTAAACTTATCTGCTGGGGTTTTATCTTTTGGCATAAGAGTGCCAAGAAAAAGAACATACAGAGGTGCAATTACTGCACTGCTGTTCCATCCCACACTGCCATCTATTCTTTTTAGATGTAACTCGGCTGCATTGGCAACAGAAAACCTCGTATCGGCTGCTCCTACAATCAACTGCAACACAACAGAGGAAGGCGGCAATACTTCGGAACTTAAGAACTTAATAACTGAAACTTTAAGTTTCTCCAGATCTTCAGGTTTGGGTGCCACGTCTCCTATGACTCGTTTAAAGGTGTGGATGCTCATTCCTGCTGGTACACCAGGAACCGGAGGACCATCAGAATTATCTTCAGCTCCATCACTCACTCTTTGCTGAGACAGTGGAGTAGCACTGAGGAGAAAAATACTGTAAATAAAATATGCAATCAATGTGTAAGAAAATGATAGCTATATATCTACTGTACTACCCCAAAAATACATAAATATAAATATTTGTTATTGTGTGTGCGTGTATGTATTACACACACACACACAGTACAGTATTGTAAAAACAAATATAGTCTTGCCATATTATTTACATACTCAACAAATAATCACTGACCCATAGGGAAGAAGCAAGATGTCCAGCATGAAGTCAAGAAGCAGCTTAGCAACTCCTGGCCTCTCCCGCAGACCAAACAGCGATGCAGTTTTTTCAGCAGTTTCTGGAATCTTCATATGACCAAACACTGGCACCATCAACAGCAGAAGACTAAGATTTAAAAACATTTGCTTTAGAAACACACAGTGGAAAAAGGGAAAAAAATACCAAACAAAAAAAGTTAGTCCAGAAAACTGACTAATAAAGCTGAAAATTGAATAAGCCTTCTAAAATTTTTAAAGTAAACAAAAATTACTATACCTGTCTTGATGCTGAGCTGGTTTACCCTCCAAACTGTTAAGCATGGATGGTAGCAGCTCTACTTGCTTGTTAAGGTCCAGCCTGGGATATCCCATCTTAATGTAGATAATCGAGAAATTCTGCAAAGTTCAATATTTAATGACATAATTAAAGCAACAACTATACATTTTTACATTTAGCCTACATTATAATATTGTTTGCATTAATTATACATATTTTAGTCAGCCAACCTGGTCAGCCAACCCTCTCAGTCTTATGCCGCACAAAAGAAAATCCTGTAACCCACAGGAGAGACAGACAAGGGTGGGGAATGGGGAGCTCTCATGGACCCCACCAGATAGTGCCATTTCAATACATTCAATGTTGGATAACTGGGAGGGACCCTAAAGCCAACTTGCCATGAAAATCTTGAAAGAGGAGACTGACAGTGAAATCAACTAGGAACCAAGGATGGCCAGGGCTAATCCATGGGAATACATAAATGGGTGCAAATGTGGACACCCTATGATAGACCCTAACCAACCCGCAGATGCCATACACAGTTTCAAATGTAGATATGATAAGAACCCAATAGGCTCAGGAACCTGTACACCAATTAACAGAACGTTGAGAAGTGGGACCAAAGTGCCGAAGCTCAAACCCTGCAAGCACAACTAAGCGAGTGCGCAAACTTGCCTAGGCTAAGAAAACCTCAATACAGTATATCTAATATACTGCTGTCTGGGACAGGAAGGCTATCATAGTACACTGGTTACCAGCTCATAAATTAACATGGATTTTGTTTGGCATCCTAGCAACCCTGCCTCACTTTTAACAAAATTCATTATTACAAACTTAGACAAAAATGTTACAAATAGTTACCGTGACAAATGCCGTGGCACTGGGATCCTGGTACTGAGCCAGGAGTGACTCCACTGGCAGCTGGATACTTTCATGCTCTTTAACTCTGCGGTTAACATGAATCAATAATTCCATCACCTAAGGAATAAACAATAAAACAGATACTACATTTATCAAAAAATACAATACTGCACAGTATTCATCTTTTGGTTTATGAATATGTAATTGCTTACTTAACTGAGCAACATCAGTACTAATGACTAATACAGTACGCTGTGCTATGTACCTTCTTTCGAACAGGTTCATGTGGAGATGCTAATTTCAAAATCACAGGAGCTAGGAATTTCAGCAACTCTTCCTGCAAAACATCATCTGTTGCTGCCGAGCCAATCCGAAGAAACACACGCTCTACCAACACTGATGGAAGAAATGGTGCTTTAATCTACTATATAATAGAATGTCAGATACTGTACATTCATAGCTAAAGAATGCATTTGAAAAAACTTTGGATATGTTTACAGTATGCAGCATATTAACACTGCACACAAGACAAATTTCATGACAAAGTAAGTAAGTTAGCCTAGACAAGAGTTGGGTCCTGCCTGCCAAACTGTGTCTTTAGACATGCAAGGTGGGGGCCACCTAATGCCATTAGCAAGGTTGGCCTGGCAAGCAATTGAAGTTGGCGAGTTCTTACGTGTGCTGCCAAGTTAGGGGTTCAGATAGCATCTTAAGTCTCTCTGAATGTACCCCTGTTGGGTCTTCTAGGTAGGACTGAGTGAATCATTAGCCCCCATCAATATTTCTACAACATATGAAAAGATCCCTATGGCACAAATGGCAGAATGGTATCCTGCATAACTAATAATTAGTTTTGTTGGAGACAGGAAGCCTGTGTATATATATACTATACCTTAGGCTTGTAACAAGGTGCCACCAAAGTCAAAATGTTGACCTCAATGTGCCCAACATTTCTGTCCCACCTGGCAATCAAACCCAGGATTCCCAACTTATTTATTTATTAATTTTATTTATTTATATATATATACAGAAGGTACATTGGGATTGTGAGGATACAGAGCATAGTAATTACAATCTTGTAAAGCTACTAGTACACGCAGCGTTTTGGGCAGAACTATGTTAAGTACAAGGCCAATTGCACTATAATCAATGGTTGGAACAGTCGGTTCACAACCAAAAAGATCCCCAGTTTAGTTCCTGTACAGAAAGGAGAAGTTTGGTCATTTATCTTAAACTTTATGTCTCTTCACCTAGCAGTAAATAAATCCTGAGAGCTTGGCGATTGTTGTGGGTTGCATACTAGGGAAGTCAGCAGTCGGCCTAGCGGAACCTCAATATGCCTGTCCTCAACAATGGGAAACCTGTACACACGAGGTAACGTCAAGAGTTTGGATGTACCTACTAGAAACAGTATACACTAAGGTAAACTTAAATGTTTGGTGTTCTTGATGCAGTACACCCGAAGTAAACTTAAATAATAAATAAATAAATAAATGTTTATTTAGGTAAGGTACATACATACAAGAAATTTTTACAAAGATTGGTTGACTTATAGGTAGAGCTAGTACATACAATGCCTAAAGCCACTATTACGCAAAGCGTTTCGGGCATGAAAAACTTAAATGACAAGCTTAATACTAATTAAGCATAAAGAGTAGAATGAAAACAAGAAATGAAAACATAGCTGAAAAAGCAGCACAAATACAATTTTGTCGACAAACAGCGCTCTTTAAAAAAAAACAGACATTGGTTGACAATAGAAGGGTAAGGTAGGTTACAGGGAATTTATTGGGTATAGCTTCGTTTTTATCTTAAACTGGTTGAGAGAGGTACAGTCTTTAACATGGTTGGGAAGGTCATTCCACATTCTGGGCCCCTTGATTTGTAGAGCATTTCTAGTTTGATTAAGTCGTACTCTAGGAATATCAAAACTGTATTTATTTCTGGTGTAGTGCTCATGGGTTCTGTTAAAACCTTCTATGAAGCTTTTGAGATCAGGATTGGCATTATAGTTTAGCGTTTTATACATGTATAATACACACGAGAGGGTAGAACTTCCTCGCCTCGTTGTTGCATCAGGACACCACCAACGCCGGTACCACTGGCGTCGACATGAAGGACGAAAGGCTTGGTGATATCTGGAGAGGCGAGAATGGGGTTAGAACAGAGGAGGAATTTGAGTTGTTCAAAAGCAACGGTTTGCTGCATGGTCCAATTATACCGTTGCTTGGGACTGGTTAATAGAATTAGAGGTGTGGCGACTGTACTGAAATTCCTCACAAACCTACGGTAGTAAGAGGCAAGACCAAGGAAGCGCAGGAGCTGCTTCCTGGTGGTAGGCTGTGGATACTGTAGGATGGCTTGAGTGTGTGAGTCTAACGGAGCTATGCTGCCACTCCCAATAACATGACCCAGATAACGCACTTTACCTTTCGCGAAAGTGGACTTGCCCAGGTTGATGGTGAGGCCGGCTGTCAGGAGCTTGGAGAACAGACGTCGCAGCTGGAGCAGATGTTCACTCCAGGAGTTGGAGGCTACGACGATATCGTCCAGGTAGGCGTATGTGTTATCCAAGCCCTGGATGACACGGTTGACAGCTCTTTGAAAGGTGGCCGGGGCATTACATAGTCCGAAAGGAAGGCGTTCATATCTGAAAAGTCCAAAAGGAGTGATGAAGGCAGATATCTCTTTAGCGCGCTCCGTTAGACACACTTGATAGTACCCCTTAAGCAAGTCCACTTGGGACAAGTACTGGGCACTACCAATGGCATCAAGGATGTCATCTATCCTTGGCAAGGGGTAAGCATCCTTGACAGTGACAGAGTTCAGTTTTCGATAGTCAGTGCACAACCGCACCTTACCTTGGGGTTTGGGCACCAAGATACAAGGTGAGGCCCAGGGGGACTCACAAGGTGTAGCCAGTCCATGGTCCAAGAGGTACTGCACCTCAGCACGCATGACTTCCTTCTTGCTCGGGCTGATTCGGTAGAAGGGTTGACGAATCGGCCGGGTGTCGGGGAGCAGTTGGATGTCGTGCTGGGTAACATTACACTCTTGGGGATCATCTCTGAACAACTCTTGATGTTCTCTGAAGATCTTGACGAGAGGTGCACTATGATTATCCTGAAAGTATTTGGGAAGATCATTAAGGATTTCGGAATTAGAAAGCGCTGACTCCTTGTCAGTGCTTTCGGGAGGAGAAGCTGGGAAGGTCTCACTGTGGATGTAGGGTTCTGTGAATGTGGAATAGTTAATCAAGACAGTGGGAGGAGTACCATTATATTGCTTCAGGAGGTTGACGTGGCACAGCTGGGTCTTCCGCCGCCTATCTGGAGTCTCTATCACATAATTATTATTATTCCTGCACTCTTTGACGCAGTAGGGTCCTGAAAATCTGTTTTGTAAAGGTGAACCTGGGATAGGGAAATAAGCAAGGACGAAGTCTCCCGGCTTGAATTTTCTTACTTTGCTGGTCTGGTCGTAATGAGTCTTCATTCTCACCTGGGCTTTCAATAGATTATCATGGGCAAAGCGGTGGACTCTCTCTAGAATGTGTTGAAGGTTTTGAAGAAACTGGGGCACATTCTGATGCTCACTGAAGGTGGCATCTCTGAGAGAGTCTTTGAAAGCCTTAAGGGGAGTACGGCACTTACGGCCGTAGAGCATCTCATAAGGAGATACTCCTAGGGACTCATTGGGGAGACTTCTGAAAATACACATTATTAGGTCAATCTGCTTATCCCAATCCTTTGAGGTTTCACTACAAAACTTTTTCAAGAGTGCTTTGATGGTCTGATGACTACGTTCAAGAGAACCCTGTGAAGCAGGATGATAGGGGCTGGACAATACCTGTTTGATGTTGAACTCCTCCAGTGTCCTTTTGAAGAGATCACTGGTGAAGTTGGTGCCACAGTCACTTTGGATCTCCCTGGGAAATCCGTATTGAGTGAAGATCTTCAATAGATGTTTGATAACCGTAGCAGCCGTGATGTTCTTCACTGGAACTGCTATGGGAAATCTGGTGGTAGGACACAGGATGGTTAGGATGTAGGCGTTACCTGAACTGGTCCGAGGTAAAGGACCAACACAGTCTATTATGAGTCTGTGGAAAGGTTCCGCAGGCACCTGTATGGGAATCAGTGGTGCTCTGGGAATGGAGACGTTCGGTTTGCCTGCCATCTGACATGTATGACACTGTTTTACGTACTGTTTGACGTTATTTACCATACCTGGCCAGTAGTAGTCTTGACGAATCCCATGGTAAGTCTTGTTGAAGCCGTAGTGGGAGAATGATCCGTGGGCCAGGTGTAGAATAGTGGGCCGCAGGCTGGTGGGAATCACAAGTTGTTCGGTGTTGGCCCAATCGTCCTCCTCCTTCAGTTTACTGGGTCTATATCGGCGGTAGAGCAAGTCGTTCTCTAGGAAGAACCCAGGAATACTGTCGGGTTGAGTCTCAGCCTGGAAAAACAATGGTGTTAAAGTAAGATCTTCCCTCTGCAACTTACGGAACTCCAACTTGGTCAGATGCGGGGGTAGTTTCTGAGGGTCTTGAGGGACAGCGGTAGCAGTAGAGTCAGCTGGCTGTGGACGTGCGGCTTGTGCACGGGTGGTCACGAGAACCGGAGGAGAAACTTCACTCTCTTGAACCTCTGCTGGAACATACTCAAGAATAGGGTTACTTGGCACAGAGTTACACACCTGGGGTTTGTCCATGACGATCAGGTTGGTTGGTTGCAGGTCTTCTGCCAAGTCGTTGCCTAGGAGAAGTTGCACTCCAGGCATGGGAAAAGGCTTTTCCCTGACGGCGACTTGGACTTCCCCGTTCACGTAGGGACAATCCAGGTGGACTCTGGCGAGAGGGTATGGAGTAGTAGCAGTGAGGTCAGTGATGAAGACCGTTTCCCCGGTGTAGACTATGTTGGGCACAGCCGACTTCAAGATGATCGATTGTAGAGCCGCTGTGTCCCTCAAGATCTTCAATTTGAAACGTCCCTCCGGATTTGAACCGTTGGCAGAGACAGTTCCAGTATACAGGTGGTTACTGAAAAGAGAAAGATCATTAACATCAACACCAACATTCATCACAGGCTTACCGGACTTAGGAGGAGTTGGTTTGGGTCGTTGTTGGTCAGTGGTTCCCTTGTATTGAGACTTACCACACTTGTCTATGGTATGTCCATAGAGTCTACAATACTTGCAGTACAGTTGTGAACCAGCTTGATCGGGGCTCACCTTCTCGTAACTGTACCACGACTTCTTACTGGAGGATGGTTCAGGTGTCAGCCGGTGGATGAGGCTGTAAGTGTCAGCCGACTTAGCACACTTCAGGTAGTCGGTTTCTTCTTTATCTGCTAAGTAGAGGCGGACAGGAGGCGGCACACGTCTCAAGAATTCTTCAACAAGCATCAGGTTGACGAGTTCTGTAAAAGTAGAGACATGTGCTGCTTCCAGCCATTTCATGAAATACCTCCGTTTCGTGTTAGCAAACTCGAGGAAGGTAGTGGTACTTGCCTTCAGGTGGTCACGGAATTTCCTTCTATAACTTTCAGTAGAGAGGAGGTAGGCGTCCAACACTGCTTGTTTCAGAGTGTAGTAGTCATTCTCAGACGCCAAAGTACTGAGTGTGACTGCAGCTCTACCTGTAAGATGGACTCTGAGAAGTGTTGCCCATTGGTCGACAGGCCAACTGAGTTGATTAGCAAGGGTTTCAAAGGTGGTAAAGAACACATCAACTTCTGCTTCTACAAAGGATGGCATTAACTTACTTGCATGTGATATATTAAAACTGACGGGAAGATTGGCAGTAGCTTGCTGGCGTTGAGCGAGGTGTGAAGTTTCCAACGTGTATTCCCGTTGACGACACTCAAGAGCCAGAGTCGCTTGTTGCTTGTCATGTTCGCGTTGTATTTCCAACTCGCGTTGTTTGGTTTCAAGCTGTAAGCGTTCCCGCTCCTGGAGTGTTTCAAGCTGTACTCGTTCACGTTCACGGAGCATTGCCAACTCACGTTCCTTGAGGGCGATCTCTTCCCTTCGTATGTCAGCTGCTTCCCTTTGCTGTTCACGGGCTTCCCTTTGCTGCTCACGTTCAATCTTGGCCAGCTCTAGTTTGAGTTTCAGCGTTGCCAAATCAGTTTTATCTGCAATATAGTAAGTTTCATGAGTTTCAGAGTCTATCTTACCTTGCTCTAAATAGTAATCCAGCAACAGGTTGTGTAGGTCATTTTTGTTGGCTTGGTAGGGAACTTCTAGTTGATACTCATGTGCAAGAGTTTGTAGTTCAGTCCTCTTGGCACGACTTAAAGTCCCTATTTCACCTGCTGGATTTGCACGGAAAGTTTGGAGACGAAACATGGTGAAATTAGCAAATAAAGGTACACGAATGTTCAATAATGAAATGTCAGAAACAGGACAACGTGGCAACTGGTACCTATCCTGTGTGATCTTTAACAATTTAACGTTAAGTGAAAGATATTAAATTAAATCAAGGGCGCAGGAAATCTTGTACCCGGTACTCATGTAAGAGAATAAGGGCAAGAAAATCCTACTAACAAATGAAACAAAGTTTCGAAAACAAATGAAACAGTTAAATGCTTCAAAAGTAAAATTGGTAGTCCAAGGATGTAGGCATACCTTGCCAAGTCTCTAAAGGACATAAAGCAAGTTTTCCTACTGAATTTAATATGATACTTACAGAATTAGCGAACTTTTGTGCTCTGAAAAAATAAGCTAATTCCCTACCGTTGTATGTATCATCATCTCTGACTGACGTGTAGGGGTGCGAGGTGTCAACTGGTGACGAGAACTGCTGCTGAGGTCCCAATTCAGCAACTAAAGTTCGAGCTAGAGGAACTATGGCCCTCTTTGTCCTCCTACAGTCAGATTGCAGAAGATTGGGTACTCTTGACCCGGGGCAGACCACAGTACCAGGGTACCAATATGATGATCTGTCAGAATGAGAAATATTCAAGGGACATAGATGGTAAATACGAGTAATAACATGGAGGGAGAGATGACCAATTAAGAGTATGACTGAGGCCTACAGTCACCACGTAATCCAAAGTTGTCTCACCTTCACTATATGTTACTCTCGTAATGCACAATACACCGCACCTTATAAAAAATGAAATTGAATGAAAAATAGTAAAGCTACGTTAACAGAGTTAAATACGCTTACCATAAATTACCACTTGGCACCAGTACCTGAGTGAAGCTCCTAGGACAGGCCCCCATATAACTTGTGACGGTAACGCGTTGGTGTTCGGCTGTTTAAGGCTAGGGGTATGGCCTCGTCACATAGTTATAAAAAAAAATAGAAAAACTGGAACTTCGTCTGTGGTAAGGTGAGGAGAAGACACACAAAACACAAGTAAAACTTTAACAATGAAATTTTAATTACGTTAAATAAATCAAAACATGAAAATAATGCACAAACAAATTCTTATAATAAAATCAATCAAAATAATAAGAATACTTAAATGACACAATGAAAAGTTACGTTAAGGCAAAATAACAAGAAGTGCAATACAAAAGTTAAGTGGGAGGTGCTGGAATATTGGCTTAAAGCCACCACCTCTCTCAGTACACTCTAGAGTCTAGCTGGGAGGAGTGCTGGCTACGAAAGCACTGAACATTCTGAGGACTGATGTTGGGGCGACCCCAGACATCAGGTAGTATTGGGGGGGGGCGAGGCAGGTGCAGCCAGACCGGCGACCAATCAGCGGAGCCGTAGCGATCAACGGGTAGTTTGGTGGTTGGAGTTCGAACAGGTGGCTGGCTGCATACGTTTCTGCTCACCCTGGCAAGCCTTGCTGGTGTTGTTGTCGTTGTTGGACATTTCTTCCATAGTCTTTTTATATAATTGTGAAGACGTAATTATGGAGGGAAGAGCAGGCTCAATCTCTTGAAGGAGATTATCGTCACAATATATATATACAAGAAGGTACATTGGGATTGTGAGGATACAGAGCATAGTAATTACAATCTTGTAAAGCTACTAGTACACGCAGCGTTTCGGGCAGAACTATGTTAAGTACAAGGCCAATTGCACTATTAAATAATAAATAAATAAATAAATGTTTATTTAGGTAAGGTACATACATACAAGAAATTTTTACAAAGATTGGTTGACTTATAGGTAGAGCTAGTACATACAATGCCTAAAGCCACTATTACGCAAAGCGTTTCGGGCATGAAAAACTTAAATGACAAGCTTAATACTAATTGAGCATAAAGAGTAGAATGAAAACAAGAAATGAAAACATAGCTGAAAAAGCAGCACAAATACAATTATGTCGACAAACAGCGCTCTTTAAAAAAAAACAGACATTGGTTGACAATAGAAGGGTAAGGTAGGTTACAGGGAATTTATTAGGTATAGCTTCGTTTTTATCTTAAACTGGTTGAGAGAGGTACAGTCTTTAACATGGTTGGGAAGGTCATTCCACATTCTGGGCCCCTTGATTTGTAGAGCATTTCTAGTTTGATTAAGTCGTACTCTAGGAATATCAAAACTGTATTTATTTCTGGTGTAGTGCTCATGGGTTCTGTTACAACCTTCTATGAAGCTTTTGAGGTCAGGATTGGCATTATAGTTTAGCGTTTTATATATGTATAATACACATGAGAGAATGTGCAGTGACTTAATGTCTAACATATTCAGAGATTTGAGTAGGGGTACCGAGTGATGTCTGGGGCCAGAGTTGGATATTGTCCTAATAGCAGCTTTGTGTTGAGTAATTAGAGGACGTAAGTGATTTTGGGTAGTAGAGCCCCAAGCACAAATACCATAGTTGAGATATGGATAGATAAGGGAGTAATAGAGAGTCACCAGGGCAGGGCGTGGTACATAATATCTGATCTTAGAAAGAATGCCCACAGTTTTTGAAACTTTTTTTGATATATTTAGAATGTGTCCCTGGAAATTCAGCTTGTGGTCAATGAGAATGCCAAGGAATTTGCCATCTAATTTGTTACAAATTTGGGTATTGTTTATTTTGAGATTTATTTGATTAGAGGATTTATTGCCAAACAGAATATAGAAAGTTTTGTCAATGTTAAGGGTGAGTTTGTTGGCAGTTAGCCAAAGATGGACTTTATTTAGCTCAGTATTTACTGTGGCATTTAGAGCAAGGGGGTCAGGACTGGAGTAAATGAAGGTTGTGTCGTCAGCAAATAGAATTGGTTTGAGGTGTTGGGAGGCATTTGGAAGGTCATTAATGTAGATGAGAAAGAGGAGAGGGCCAAGTATGCTGCCCTGAGGAACACCAATGTTGATGGGTAGGGTGGGAGAAATTGTATTATTCACAGAAACATATTGGAGCCTGTCAGTAAGGTAGGATTTGAGGTATTGCAGGGAGTGTCCTCTGACTCCATAATGATGTAATTTAAGAAGAAGGTTTTGGTGGTTGACAGTGTCAAAAGCTTTACGCAGGTCCACAAATAACCCAACAGGGAACTCATTTTTATCAAGAGCTGTATGAATCGAGTTAAGCATACTAAGACCCATTCTACGTTAGACAGTACACCAAAGGTAAACTCACAGAGCTCGTGGTGTCCCCTGCTAGTTAGTACATTAAATGTAAACCCCACAGAGCTCAGGTGTACCCCGCTAGACACAGTACATCAAATGTAAACTCACAGAGCTCGTCGTGGAGGTTATGAAGTACCGGAGTCGTCATGGTGTAAACAGGCTAGTGGTTTACAGGCGAGTAGGTTTACCCTTGCATCTCAGGGGTGCCCTGGTATCCTAGTGCAGCAGGGGGAGGGAGGTGTAGGTGTACAAGAATGTGTACAGGAGCCACCTGGGATGTGCACTGTCATCAGCTGAGCGCCACAGCGTTCATGGCGGCGTGAAATAAACAGCTGTACTGAGCGTTCCTTGCTGCCTCAACTCTCTCTCTCTTTCTCTCTCTTATCTCCTTTATTCTACACAATAATACGGCTTTATTGCAATTTTTTATTCTGATTTTAAATCAAGATTAAATAATATAATAAACAGCTGTACTGAGCGTTCCTTACTGCCTCAACTCTCTCTCTCTTATCCTCTTTATTCTACACAATAATACGGCTTTATTGTAATTTTTTTATTCTGATCTTAAATCAAGATTAAATAATATTAGTTGAGTTGTGGTCGTTGTTCTCGTTGTTACTGCTGCTGCTGTGGTTTGCTGTTGCTGCCGCTGTACCTGCTGCTTCTGTATCTGCTGCGGCTGCTGTACCTGCTGCTGCTGCTGTATCTGCTGCTGCCGCTGTACCTGGTGCTGCTGCTGCCGCTGTACCTGGCGCTGCTGCTATCCTTGCTGCTGCTGGCCACTGGTGCTTCCATGCCTACTGTTGCTGCTTTTTCTGTACCTGATGCTGCTGCCGCTGTACCTGCTGCTTCTGTATCTGCTGCGGCTGCTGTACCTGCTGCTGCTGCTGCTGCCGCTGTACCTGGCGCTGCTGCTATCCTTGCTGCTGCTGGCCACTGGTGCTTCCATGCCTACTGTTGCTGCTTTTTCTGTACCTGATGCTGCTGCCGTACTTGCTGCTGCAGCTGCTGTATCTACTACTGCTGTTGCTACTTCGTCTGTAGCTGCTACTTCTGTAACTGCTGCTGCTGCTTGTTAATATCAACAAATATGGGCAGACATGATGCTTATAACGGTAAACGTGTTACAGTGGTAGATTATTTGCAGTGGTAGATTATTTGCATACAGTGGTAGACTATTTGCATACAATGGTAGACTATTTGCATACAAGGGTTGGACGGTAGAGCGACGGTCTTGCTTCATGCAGGTCGGCGTTCAATCCCCGACCGTCCATGTGGTTAGGCACCATTCCTTTCCCCCGCCCCATCCCAAATCCTTATCCTGACACCTGCCAAGTGCTATATAGTCGTAATGGCTTGGCGTTTTTCCCTGAGTTTCCTTCGCTTCCCTCTCCCATTCTGCCAATTAACTCTGGTGTTCCCCAGGGTATTATATAATAATGATAATAACAATTCATTGTGTCAGGGGACAGGCAGCCAGTTTATATATACAGTACATGATAGGCTTATATGGTCGAATTACTGACCTTTCCCAAAAGGTGGGTTGGACATGTTTATGAGTGGGATTGGGTGATTATAGATAGGAGCTGCCTCGTATGGGCCAATAGGCCTTCTGCAGTTACCTTGTTCTATGTTATGTTATCTTATGTTATGTTAAAATCCAACCCAACAACAAGCTGACTTTAACTTCTGGGTACCTATTTACTGCTTGGTGGACAGTGGCATGAGGTGATAGAAGACGCGCCCAACTATTTCTGCCCCGCCCAGGATTCGAACTCGGAATTCTCGATTGTGATTCGAGAACGAACCCAGTTGTACTAACTGACCCTCACTGTATTACAGGGACCCAGCCGGGATATACAGTACTTGGTCCACTCATCTTTCTCAATTATATCAATGAAGTATTAACACTTACAAACAACAACAGAACTACAAGAAGTAAAGCAAAGACGAAGATGAAAAAGATGGCAAAGCAGACCAACACCACAAGTATATAGAACCTAGACCACTGATGGCCCTCTTCGGCGTTCCTAGGTGGACGATGTGAGGGCGGGCTTGCCTGGCCTCCTGCCGACGGTGCATAAATCTCGAACTTGAGTCCAGCAGCTGGGTTAAGCCCTGGCACTCTATGATTACAACGCTTCCTCTCCACACTTCTCTTCAGCTCTTCCCACTTACCCGTTCGCTACTTTTCTTGTATTTCATGTATGTTATATACAGTGGTAGACACGTTACATACAGTGCAGACACGCTACAGAGTAGAGACGTTATATATAGTGGTAGATATGTTATATACAGTGTAGATAAGATATATTTAGTGGTAAACACGTAATATACAAATTTCCGTAATGCCTAAGCCCTGTTGAATTTTAAAATCCAGATGGAAAAAATCATCAGGACAAATGGTGGGACCTTTCACAAGCCGCAGGCTTCCTGTCCTCGTCATGGCTACTAGAATGTTAATGGCCCTCAGCTAAATTCCAGTAAATAGTGGTTATAAAGACTAGTAATTAATATAATTTGCTTTATTACTGTTTTTACTTAAGAGAGATGAAATAAGCAGCTATATATGTAAGTAGCTATTTTTGTCAATAAGTATTTTGTCAGTACTGTAGATTTTTTGTAAGTAGCTATTTCTGTCAATAAGTATTTTGTTAGTACTGTAGATTTTGTAAGTAGCTATTTTTGTCAATAAGTATTTTGTCAGTATTGTAGATTTGTTGTAAGTAGCTATTTTTGTCAATAAGTATTTTGTAAGTAAAGTAGTTATTTGTAAGTAGCTATTTTTGTCAGTACTGTAGTTATTTTTTTAAAGTGGTTATTTTTGTCAATAAGTATTTTGTCAGTACAGGGCACTGTAGTTATTTTGTAAGTAGCTATTTTTGTCAATAAGTATTTTATCAGTACTGTAATTTTTTTTAAAGTAGCTATTTTTGTCAATAAGTATTTTGTTAGTACTGTAGTTATTTTTTATAGTAGTTATTTTTGCCAATAAGTATTTTGTCAGTACTGTAGTTATTTTTTAAAGTAGTTATTCATATTGTTTTGTGGGAGTTGTATTAATAGATCTGTATTGTGTGTATACATAGTTGCCTAGAGGTCAGTGTTTTATAGAGCCTATAGTTTATGTTACCCTTCAGGTAACCTTCAGATAACATTAACATTACTAACAAGCACAACACCCTCCGTCAACTAGGCCCCGTGCTGGGGAGTGACGAGGCAAAATATACGGGTCCTGGTAATTTACTCAAAGTACCACAAAGTAGCACAAGGTTATTACATTCAAAGTTACCACATACACAGTTACCACAAAGTTAACACAAAATACTTTACAAAACACAACCATTGTGGGGACTTTGTGGCCAAAATATTGTCTGTTGTGCCCAACAGTCAATATTAGACAGAGACAATATTGTCACACTGTGGCAGTGTTGGTGTGACAGGGTTGGTGTGGCAGGGTTGGTGTGGCAGGGTTGGTGTGGCGGTATTGGTGTGGCAGTATTAGTGTGGCAGGGTTGGTGTGGCAGGGTTGGTGTGGCAGTATTGGTGTGGCAGTATTAGTGTGGCAGGGTTGGTGTGGCAGGGTTGGTGTGGCAGTGTTGGTGTGGCAGGGTTGGTGTCATTAACTGTGCATGATATATGCACAATTAATACCTCTATTTATTTATATATAATTTAGTAAAGGTATAGCGTAGGAGAAGGCTTAATCTCTTTATGATCTGATTAAGACTAAGATCATCAAGTCTTAGCATTGCCATGGAAAATAATTTCTTAGTTAAACTCCGGTACCTTAGAAAATATAAACCTTACTTATGCATAATAGTGAAAAAATCAAGTTATGGACCTATCCATAATTTTTGAAAATACAGACGTAGCCTACCATAAACTTAGAAAATGAAGACTGTTTATAGTCTAAGCAAACCAAATATTATTCTAATCCATGGTCTAGGAAAACTATGATTCAGTTTATGGTCGTGTCATTTATAGTGTAAACAAGTCACAGCTTAAGCAAGCTCTTTGGTAATGAAATCACAGCCCAGCACAGTTGAAATTGAATCGTGCTCTGGCCATGATGATCCCGCAGGAAAATTGCGTAAATGTTCAGTCTTTGGAGAACTAGCAGCAGTACCGCCATTCTGTTGGAAAAGTAAACAATTTGAATGTAGAAGAGTAAGATGAGCACGGGGAAAATAGCCATTCAAGTTAATACAGGCATAGAGCTGGAGGGTCGAGATTTACTGAGTCTTAGTGGCATAAACCAAATCAAAACCTTCATTCATAAATCATTGTTCATTTATAATTGGGAAAGTGGGAATCATAAATTAAAGCTAATCAGTTTAGAGCTCGTAACTTGAATAGGCCGTTAAGAAACGGCATTTAGACAAATCCTTTAGTTTGAGTTACAAATACTTTAGACAAGTCGATTACTGAATTGTTTTGAAATAAACCTGCCAAGCATGGGGACAATAGGCCTTCTGAAGTCTTCTCTTATGTGCGTGTGTAGTGTGGTGGTAAGGCGTGGATTATATGGTGTTTGTTGGTGATAGTAGGAGGGTACCTTAATGTGGTGTCGGGGAGGAGGGTACTATAAGCTGGTGGTACAGTGTAGCAACAATTATCATGCTGGCACCCTCGTCCGTATAAATACAGGGGGTCGGCCTCTGTCCCCCGCCACACCCGGCCACAATAGTGTGACGCGGCCCACCCGTCACTCTCATACCTCACCACACCCTCCTCCATACTTGTGTCTTCTGTTCGGTAAGACGGGTGTTGGTGTGACAGTGTTGGCGTGACAGTGTTGGAGATACTGTGGGTTCCGTAATAATGTCACTCTTGGTCTCTGGTCCACCAACAGTATCACTATGTGGGCGGCAGTGTGGGCGCTGTCGTGCTGTGGCGTGTCTGTGGGCGTGGCCCAGGTGGCCATGATGGATAGCAGGGTCCACGACAGGTCGTCTGACCCCAACATGGTCCACGGCAGGTCGTCTGACCCCAACATGATCCACGGCAGGTCGTCTGACTCCAACATGGTCCACGGCAGGTCGTCTGACTCCAACATGATCCACGGCAGGTCGTCTGACCCCAACATGATCCACGGCAGGTCGTCTGACCCCAACATGATCCACGGCAGGTCGTCTGACTCCATCATGATCCACGGCAGGTCGTCTGACCCCAACATGGTCCACGGCAGGTCGTCTGACTCCAACATGATCCACGGCAGGTCGTCTGACCCCAACGTACAGCATGGTGATAGTGGACAGATCCACCTGGACCCCAATGGGCTTTCAGACCTGCCGCTGGGGTCCCCAGACACAGTCAGTAATAGCTTGTATTGTACTGTGTGTGTGTGTGTGTGTGTGTGTGTGTGTGTGTGTGTGTGTGTGTGTGTGTGTGTGTGTGTGTGTGTGTGTGTGTGTGTGTGTGTGTGTGTGTGTGTGTGTGTGTGAACTTTCTTATCCTTCTCTTCACACTTTCAAGTCAATTAATGACCATAGATAGTGGTGTATAGTGACCACAGAACTGTGGGATATAATGGGGCCTAAGAAGGGCACGATCAAGTTGAAGAATAGTGTTAGACGTGTAACTGGTCACGCTTGAGGACATGATTGCAAGTGCTATTTGTCTTATGTCTGCTACACAGATGGAGACGGACAGGCCTGGCGCACCTCTCAGCCCGGCAGACTTCGAGACCAGCGCCGGCATGAGTAAGTGTCACTCACTTCATAATCAACATTTGTAAGTAACACTTTTGGTTGGGTTCTCTCGTAAGTGCTCTGTTTGTGCTTACAAGGCCTTGCAAGTTGGCTAAACAAGTAGTGTAAGTGTTACAAATAAAGTTGCACAAAGTTTCAAGTGTTTAGGATGGCTACAGCATGTGTGTGTGTTATTACCAGCGGGAGAGGACTGGCAGGAGGTCATGGTTGGGACTAACCAGTCACTCTCTCTGGCACAGTTCACGACACCGTCGACACCAGCAGCCAGGCCGACCCCATCGAACTGGCGGGACTCTTCCAGGGCGATATAATGCTCCACGACCGTGACGCCCTCCTCGACCTACCGCCTGGGGTGAGTCCTGGAGGGTGAGTCCTGGAGGCGGGGGGAGTCCTGGAGGGGTGATTAATAAGGTAACATCAAGGCTGCCAACACTAACATACCTGGATCATACTTGGGGAGTGTTTCGGGAGTTCTTCTTCCCGAGCCCGGTCTGGGGCCAGGCTCAACACGGTGCAACCATTTGGGGTCGACCCGGCGGTGCCCGGGTCGACCCCATCTAGTTATATATATAATAATAACATAACAATGATTTAAGAATAACACTTTCCAGAGACACTCTTCCCCCCCCCCCCACACACACATCTGTCAACAATGACACACCTGTAGAGAGCACCACTCTTGCTGCAGGTGTCGAGGGAGACGAGCAGGGGGGGTCGCAGCGCCCTCATAGACGTCCACAGACGCTGGCCCAACGGCATCATTCCCTACGTCATCTCCCAGACCTACGGTGAGGCTCCCAACCTCTCTTACAAAGTTACCAATGTAACTACCAGGTGATAGTTATTACGTCACTTCATCTCAAGCCAGCCCCGTCAACCTCATTTATTTTATGACATTATTTGTATCCATTACGAATAAGCTAAAACGTAATGTTAAGTAACTATCAAGTAAGGAAGAGAATACTCGAGGAGCCAGCTGTGTGCTGAAGCCGTCAAGTGGCCGGATGTCTTGCTTGCTAAGTTAAGCATCCGACTTTTCATGGACAGTGGAGAGTTAAACTCCATTCCCAAGACATCAGCCGTGTCACTCAATACTATACTTGTCCCAGTTGCTATATTGTTATATATTGTTATATAATGTTATATATTGATAACAAGATAACAATAATCTTGTTATCATTATTGCCTGTGTTCTGCCGCTAATGTGACTTGCCATTACTTTCCCCAGGTAGACATTGCTGCAAATAGGTGATTAATCACTCTCATAGTAGCTGGCATTTCTTTTTTCCATATGTAAAGGTTAAAATACAATCATCAGCATAGGTCTGAGCGTGAGGGATGAGGTGCAGTAGACCGCTGAGGTAAACATTCCACAACAAAGGACCAAGCTCACTTCCCTGCGGTACACTGGTCCCAACTGAGTGGTTTTAAGATGCTGCTCCATTGACGACTACTCGTAGGGATCTAAGTAGTCCCTCACTAGCAGTAAAATTGCAACAACACAACTTGGTATGGACTCATCCAGTGCCTGAGGCCACTTAGTGTAGAGGTTTAACAAGAGGTCGGCAGCAGAACAACCTTTCCTAAAACCAAATTGATGACCATATAGTAACCGATGGTGGTAAACAAACTATATCATTTGCTGAGAGATTAATGTCTCCAAAGTTTTTGCGCTGGAACTAAATCTGCCTTTTTCCAAACGGAAGGACAAAGTCCTTGAGCCAGAATGTTGATGTGAGAGGCGAAGTGAAGATGACACACAGCGGTGTGTCGCCTTGGGCTCTCCTCATCCACCCCCGCTGCCTTACTAATGTCCAGTGATTTAAGTACATGGCAGAGTTCACCCTGTAGATAACTACTTCAGACCCCCTCCCCTGATGCCCCATCCCCCCATAAGGTGCCATCATCCCCCATAACATGCCATGATCTCCCCGTGACAGATGAGACGGAGCGAGGCACCATCGCCAAGGCCATGAGTGAGTTCCATGATCAGTCCTGCATCCGCTTCGTCCCTCGAACCATCGAGAAGGACTACATCCACATCCTCAAGGGTGACGGGTGAGTGTCATCCACCCCCTCAAGGGTGTCAGCCACACGGCCGTCAGTATTAAGTACATCCATCCTCTCAGTCATGTCATCCATGATCATCATGTTTACAAAAATCGTATATTTTAAGCTAATTTGCTTGAGTTCAATAAGCACCTGTATTATGCCTGCCGCAGGTGTTGCTGGACAGTAACACCTGCATTATGTCTGCCGCAGGTGTTGCTGGGCAGTAACACGTGTATTATGCCTGCCGCAGGTGTTCGAGCTCTGTTGGTCGGGTGGCGGGGGCCCAGCAGGTGTCGCTGGGGCCCGGGTGCCTGTACGTGGGCATTGTGATGCACGAGCTGATGCACGCGGCGGGGTTCTGGCACGAGCAGTCGCGCTACGACCGGGACAACCACATCACCATCAACAAGCTCAACGTGCAGGAGGGCATGTGGCACAACTTCGAGAAGTACACCTGGGACAAGATCCAGAGCCTCGGGATACCTTATGACCTGGGTGAGTGTCCAGTAATGAGTGTGGCACTATATGGCCCTTCCCTACCATCCCCCGTCCACACACTGTATCCCTCACTCTGCCTCATATGCCCCTCACAGAGTCGGTGATGCACTACGGTCCGTATGCCTTTGCCAAAGAGGGCAAGCCAACCATAATTCCCAGAGAGACAGGAAAGGAGATTGGTCAGAGGAGAGGCTTCTCCAAGGTGAGTTCTCTCTTGCGTGGTTCTTGAGTGATTCTCCAAGGTGAGTCCTCTCTTGCGTGGTTCTTGAGTGATTCTCCAAGGTGAGTCCTCTCTTAAATAGCTCTCAGGTGCTTCTACAAGAGCCTGTATCCACCAACCACAGGACCGCCTGAGTCTGTACCCATCAACAACAAGAGCCCGTGGGTGCTGTGGCTCTCAAGACAGGACACATCTAACTCAGAACTCAGAACTCAGAACTCAGGACAAATCTAACAGGAATGGTATCGGCACCCAGTGATCCCAGGCGACAGGACCGTCCTGTGAAGTCTGGATAGTCGAGACTTACTTACTGAAGACTCGAGGCCCTTCAGATCTACGGCAGAGGCACCCTGTTCTCAAGCCCAGTAGAACTACGTCTTCCAGTGACCCCACGGCGCCCACCACGCCTACAGAACCCACCACAAGCCCTCTAATAAAAGCCGAATCCGGCACTTCTCGGCCAGTCCCGCCTGGACACCGTCTTTCCGCCTATGATCTAACTGAAAAATGTAAAAATCTTTAAACTTCCTAGTTGAAGGACCCGGCCAAGTCTCCCTAGCGACAAGGGGACGATCTCAATCATCAATCTCAGCTGTTCAAGAGAAATGCCTGACGGCGGTGTCGAAGCCCGATATAAAAATAGTGACACGCTTTCCAGCGACCTGCAGGTGTTACAGGTGTGGCAGGTGTGAAGTGAGGTATTGATGATGACGGCTGAAGGTGGGTTGTGGTCTCATACCAGCAAGGTTTAAGAATGTCACAATAGTGAAATTATGTGACATGTGTTCGTATCTTGTAATATTATTGTTATTTAACACTGTTTATATGTGTAACATTATTGTGATGATGTGTAACATTATTCCACATGTGTAGATTTATGTAACATAACTTTACAACGTGTTTGTGACGGCGGCGTGGTGACCCGGGGGACACAGTGGGACGTGGCCAAGCTGCAGAAGCTCTACAACTGTGCCAACACCTCCACCTACTTCGTCAGCACCTCCGCTCCACTGGTGGCCGCCGCTACAGGTGATAACCTCTCTCTCTCTCTCTCTCTCTCTCTAGTTCAACCTCTTATGGCAGTTAACAATCTCCTAGACGTTAAACCAGGTCAACACTTTAAACCTTTCAACCATGTCAGCCCCCTCGTGAATGATCAGCCTCCGCTACATTATAACACACACACACACACAGACACACACACACAAGTGTGTGTGTGTGGTGTGGAGAAAAAAAGTAGTTAGTAGTAGGTGAGTACACACACACACAGATGTAAAGTTATGGAAATGGGATAAGGTGATAGGAGACCAAAGGGACAGTACACAATGAAGGGGGAACTCCTACCTGTGACGATTCGAGAAAGAGACCACGTAAGAGGCGTGGATGTAACACCTAATCTAACTCCTGAGGCACGTATAAATAAGATAACGACATCAGCGTACTCTACACTGGCAAAAGTTAGAACATCATTCAGAAACCTAAGTGAGGAGGCTTTTAGGGCATTTTGCACTGCCTACATGAGACCAGTCTTAGAGTATGCCGCCCCATAGTATGTATGGCGCGGCATACATGCATACTACCAGAGTGGTAGACGGTTGGAACAAGTTAAGAAAGAAGGTGGTGGACAAAACCATCAGTAGTTTCAAAATGTCATATGACAAAGAGTACTGGGAAGACGGGACACCACGAGCGTAGCTCTTCTCTTGAAACTATACTTAGGTAATTACACTTAGGTAACTACACTTTATTACATTATACAACATGGTCAATACACAACATGGCCTCAGAGGAACACTTATTTTTACTTATTACTTCGCTTATGACATGAAAGTATGCTGGTACCCAGTTCTGCATGAAGGATTACAGAGTATAACAAAAGCTGGCTATGAGTTCATCTAAAACCGCAATCTCACAGGACAGTTAGTCATGCACAGACTCGTGAGAGAGTAGACGTGAGTCTAGTCTGCACCTAGTTCACCCTGGCTCACCCAGGCTCACCCTGGCTGGAACACAAGAACATCTTCCAGTGTTGGTGAGTGTCAGCAGTAGTGACACACCTCACATCTCCTACCATTGTGTGTGACGTGTGAGTACTGAGCGTCCGTGTGTCCACAGAGGAGTGTGAGGACAACGTGAAACACTGCCAGATGTGGGCCGACATGGGTGAGTGTGACACCAACCCCACCTGGATGTTCGTTAGCTGCAGGAAGGCCTGCAGACAGTGCGGTGAGTGCTCCATCCTTCATACTACATCTCCACCCTCATACTGGCCTCATACTACACCTCCACCCTCATACTGGCCTCATACTACACCTCTACACACTCGTGCTGGTGTCATAATGCATAAGCATACAGTAAATAAATAAATATATATATATATATATATATATATATATATATATATATATATATATATATATATATATATATATATATATATATATATATATATATATATATATATATATATATATATATATATATATATATATATATATATATATATATATATATATATATATATATATATATATATATATTTATTATATATATACTGTATTTACTTAATGTTTTATGTCACCAATTAAATCTGATGACATAAAAACATATATGTGACATTTCATATCAATATATATATATATATATATATATATATATATATATATATATATATATATATATATATATATATATATATATATATATATATATATATATAATATATTTTTTTGTATATGTGTGTGTGTGTGTGCAGAAAAACTACATATCAGGTGCAAGTTTCATGAAAATTGATTAGTAAATGAAAGAGTAATAAAAATTTTATTTGTAACTTACACTATACAACATTATTTCAAAGATTCATGCAAATCGCCCGATAAAAAAAGGAGAAAACAATTTACCCAAAAAACTAAAAATAATTTTGTCAAAAAATAAGGAAAAAATAATTATATTTAGATAAACCTAAGAGGTATAACCCTTTATTAGAAGCTATTGTGATAGCTGAGTGTCATAGACATTATTTCAGTGGACACTTGTGTTTAATATTTTTTTGACCTTTTTGAACCTTTTTTTTGACAAATAAGTAAATATTTTTTTTCACCCTTTTTATTTACGCTACGATGCTGAAACTTGGACCACTTGACGCTCTTTTCATATACAACTAGTCGAAAAATTTGATTGAAATTTAACCGGTTTTCATTTATTGAATATTTTAAACATATGGCCCCAGATAACCTATAGGATGTCATTCTTCACACACACACACACACACACAGTTGATTAACAGTTGAGAGGCGGGAGCAAAGAGGCAAAGCTCAACCACCGCAAACACAAATAGGTGAGTACAAATAGATGAGTACACACCCACACACCCGCACTCATAAAAGCCATGATGTAATTAGCAAAAAGTCTCATAAATACATGCATGAACGGTGATGACTGGTGGTAGGGGCCTTATGGTAGGTGTACTCACCTAGTGGTGCTTCCGGGGGTTGAGTTGTGGCTCTTTGGTGTGTGTGTGGTGCCATTCTCTGTCGCGAATGGCACCATTATGATTACTGGTCCTTTAGTAATGGTTGTGGTAGTCATTGTGTTTGTAGATATGTGACTCTTCTCACCTATTTGTGCCTGTAAGATCGATCATTAGTTCTTAGACCCCACCTTTCTCGCTGCCGGCTATCTAATGCAATGACTCCTGACATATTATATCTACTTTTAAAATTAATTGTGAATGGAGTTTGCTTCCACAACCTGTTCCTTTAGGTCATTCCATTTCCCCTCTACTCTTATACTAAAGAAAGACTTTCTAGCATCTCTATGACTCATCTGAGTCTCAAGCTTCCAGCCATGCTCTCTTGTTACATTGGTATTCATTTACTCTTTTTCCACTATTTCAATCCGTTAAGGTATTTTATACGTCTCTGTCATGTCTACCCTTCCTCTTCTCTTTTTCTTGCGTCGTCAGGTTTAGTTCTTTCAGTCTCTCTTCATACCCTTTCCCTCGTACTTCTGGGACGAACCTCGTCACAACTTCTAAATCTTTTTGAGCTTCGTAATGTGTGTTTTCTTTAGACGGGGCTCCACGATGAGGCGCCATACTCTAAAACTGGTCTCACGAAGGTGGTGTATTGTCATTTAAATTCCTTCTTATTTAGGTTCCTGGATGATGTTTTAACTTTCGCTAGCGTAATGTTGCTGACGTTATCCTATTTATTATTATTAATTATAATTAATATTATAATTAATAATTTTAATAGCCTCCGGAATTAGGTTTGGTGTTATGTCCACTCCCAGGTCTTTATCTAGTCTTCACAAGGAGATAGTTTCCTGTCATTGTGAACTGTCCCTTTAGCCTCCTCTTCCTACTTCCATCGCCTTACACTTGCTGGGGTTTAACTCCAGCAGCCATTAATCAGATCAAATCTGCAGCTTGTTTAAGTCATCTTGGAGAATTTTACAATCCTCATCTATCATTACACTTCTCATTAGTTTTGCATCGTCTGCTTTACCTTGACATCAACAAAGCATGTTGACTAACTTGTAAACAGTCTCTTGTCAGTTACAAAGCATTACAAACTTTTGCAATTGCAAGTCAGTTTGAAACAAGACTAATGTTATACTACAATAAACTATCCTTGATAATGTTCTGATTCAAGAGCCACAAAAGGCAATAGTTGTGAAAAATATCTTGTTGACCCCTAATTATCTTGTTGAACAATAATTACCTTGTTGAGCCATAATTACCATTTACAAATGCCACTGACAGTCGTTTGTGGGCTTCAACCACTTACCAATCTTACCAATCAGTAATGCCAGGTGGTGCTGCAGGTAAGGAGTGCCAGGACCTTAGTATTTACTGCAGAGTTTGGAGCGAGAAAGGCGAGTGTACCACCAACCCGGAGTACATGACTCTACACTGCAAGAAGTCGTGCGGCCTCTGTCATGACCACCAAGGTGAGCTGCTGCTCTCATTCACCACCCCCTGCCCCATACACCCTTCCCTGCTCCACACACCAGCACCTGCCTCACACACACCCTCCCCTGCCCCACACACCCTCCCCTGCCCCACACACCCTCCCCTGCCCCACACACCCTCCCCTGCCCCTCCCACACACACACCTGCCCCACACACCCTCCCCTGCCCCACACACCCTCCCCTGCCGCTCCCACACACACACACCTGCCCCACACACCCTCCCCTGCCCCACACACCCACACCTGCCCCACACACCCACACCTGCCCCACACACCCTCCCCTGCCCCCACCCCCCCACACCTGCCCCACACACCCACACCTGCCCCACACACCCTCCCCTGCCCCACCCCCCCCCACACACACACCTGCCCCACACACCCTCCCCTGCCCCACACACCAGCACCTGCCCCACCCCCCCCACCCCCACCCCCCACACACACACCTGCCCCACACACACACGACACCTGTCATTTACTGTATTCTCATTTTACTTAGTGTAATATGTATGTATGATTAAATATTTAAGTCATAGTCACAGAGAGTGACTAATACATAGTACACGCAGACTGTTGTGTGGGAGAACAATTGGTAACCGGGATGGCGCCGCGTCCCGTCAGGTGAGACTTTGTGCATACTTGTAGTCCTTCACACTAGTGACTCTGTGAGTCGAGTGAACGCCCTCATCTTGCAGATACTCCTGTCCCCAAGCAGTGTGAGGACAAGAACAAGTACTGCAGCGCCTGGAGCAAGATGAGGCAGTGCGACGCTAACAGGGACTACATGCACGTCTACTGTAAGAAGTCCTGTAAACACTGCTAGAAGCAATCGTACCATCTTCCTGCCCTTCTTCTTCACCAGCCTCACACACGCAGCTCTTTCCTCTCAGTGGCAACCTTCTCCTGGGTTGGTTTTGTCTCTGTCATCATGTCCGTCCGGCCTCAGGTATCGTCTCCACGCCTGCAGAATCATCCTGCTCCCCCGTCAACATTTTCTCCTCTCAACAAGTGGTTGTCTTCATTATTTTTATGATGGAAATGTTGTACAATCGAGTGTAACTGTACTCCAAAGACTAATTTAATTTCAGCGGTGCCGAAGTCTTGAGTCAGCCTTCGTGGGCACCGTTGGGCCTTCCCCTGAAGGCAACAGGACACCACAGCAAACCATCTTGGCAGATTACTGAATATACTGTTGCACCTTTGTTTTGAAATAAACATTGCCACACAAAATAAATGCATCTTTGGGAAATATACAAAATCAACTATAGACATTTAAGCTGTTAATAAGGTTCACTGATGTCACTGTATCTAAGGGTGTAAGCCATACACTGACTTACACTTGTAAGAGACACCAAGACAGACCTGGAGCTTAACTAATGTTACTTAAGTTATGATATCCAAAGCACACATCAGAAACGACGACTTTTCGGTCCGTTTTGGACTTGACAATGGTCCAGGACGTTTCTTCATTTTCTGATGTGTGGTTTGGATATCATAAACCATTACTGTATATAAGAGTGTGTGAGCCACACTCACACACTCACACACTCTTAGCTCACACACTCTTATATACAGTCATGGTTTATGATATCCAAACCACACATCAGAAAATGAAGAAACGTCCTGGACGTAACCCACAACCTAGATTATAACGTGTCTTATTGTTTATAAGTTCACAGAACATATTAAGTATGATTTATATAAGAACCATTAAACTATTGTTGGGTGTGTGTTTAAAATCATTAATACCTTTGTAATATTGTTTGCAAATGAAGACAAATATATCATAACATCACAGACAAGGAGATAGTATATTATAATTGTATGTATTTATATATCATAAATATGTTAAAATTGTGTATGGAGTAGTGACATGCATACCGCCACTACACCAAGCAAGTACTTATCACCAAGAAGGTACCGAGTAAAGAAGTCTATATAGCTGCCAATGGTGATACATAGCCTTCCCGGCCTGGTGCCTTCTTTGATAATTGTTTACTATATAGCTGCCACTCAGTGGTTCGTGGTCAGCCTCTCTGGGTACAGAAGCTGGGTACACCTCTCAGTCTATATCCCGGCTCAGTTTAAACATTTAACGTTTTCAATACACATATATGTAATGTATGTTTACATATTATAAATTTATTGTATTAAAAGATGCTTATCAGTTAGTATTTACTAGAGTTCGTTAACATAAACACATCTCAACATGACATGTTTGGCACTAATTACTGTGTACGAGATTGTGGTGTGAACCAACACAACCAAACATTGTTCCGGCCTTTCCAACAATGCATCGCATTTAGATGTATTTATACACGGTTTTGGTCCCTAAGGCCAAAAACCATGCACACAAAATCATAGCGGCTTGCAAAGTTAACGTGATGTCCCGTTTTCTATTCGTGAGTCCTCGGGTAGGTTAGGGTCGGGCAATTTAGTGACGTTGTGAACGCTCGTGAGGACGGACTGTGTAAATATATTGAAAAAGACACGATTCATGGGATAGTGATCAGTTTGTTCTTGTCCACAGTCCGTGATTATAACCCAATGTACTTAATTATATTTCAAAACATTTGTTAATGAAGCAATTATTATTATCCATACATATATTGTATACAGAGTTGTATGGGTGTTGTGATGTAAAGGGATTATTATCAGTACTGAAACCATATTTGTTCACTCTTGAGAACAAACTGGTGCTGAGAACTGGGGCCCAGTGGCCGTCGACTCTCACAGCTGCACTCTTTACTCTGAAAAGCTACCCAGGATCAAAGTCCAGCGTGCTGTCCGCTCGGCCGACAAGCTACGAACCCATGCCAAAGCGCTCGCGAAGCGCTGGGCGAGTGTTTTACCGCTGCGCCATGAGGATAGCATCCCACTGCATTCCTCCCTCCTACTCACGGAGATTCCAACATTCCACGAAATAGAATATGTTCGGTTAGGTTAGGATATGTTAGATTCCATCAGGTTACATGCATTTAAACTTGCGATGACAGATGGTCGAAACTTTTAATGGGTCAAACCTACTCTCCAAATTTCCCCAGGGGAAAGTTTTACAGTTCTATCCTCTCGGCAATAATTATGAATTAATATATTGGGCGGTCAAAGTCTCCCATTGAAAAGTATATAAAGAAAAACTAAATATTCTTCTCTTACAGAAAATGAGTTTAGTTTTGGGTAACTATGGTATATTTAACATTTTAAAGAACTGGTCTGGGTTAATATCTCTATACATGCAGTATTTTAAATGTCTCGTGAGATAGTTCTGTCATGTCTGGCTTTTATTATTCCTAATCCTGTGGCCATCAAGCGTTCCTGGTATGAGTTCACGTAGTTATTTTTTTTGTTAATTTTGCCCTGGGAGGGGGGAGGTGCTAATTTAGTGGAATGCCTCACTTATCCAGTTCTGGATTTTGGTCACAAGTCTTTGTTTATCTTCTTGCGATCGTAGTGAACTAAAGCCATTTTCTTGCTCGTCTTCCCTTCCCTAGCTTGCAGCTTGCAGATATGTGAGGTTAGGCTGTTTTCTGTCCAGCTCCTGTCTTTTTTTTTTTTTTTTTTTTTTTTTTTTACTATGGGTAGAGGGGGGAGTGACATTTTGCATATTTCCTTGGTCCAGAGGTTTTCTGAATGGCAATTTCAGTGGTAGATACGGTTCCTCAGTCGGTTTCCTTACCGAATTCCTTCCACGCTTGGGGCTTTAGACCTTTTTTTTTTTTTTTGTTAATGCCCTTCTTGTTTCGCACATTATGGGAATATCTCCTCACCTCGGGTGTCGAGATATTGTCTGGAAAGATCAGTCTAGTGTGTTACTCCTGTCATCAGGAAAGACTGAAATACAACACTACTACACACATGGGATGCCGTACCTTGCACAACTGCAGACTGGTGGAGAGAATCATATGGGAGGAAATTTCCCACTGGCGAGTCTTAATTCTCGTAGTGTTGTTCCCAGGGACTCTTTACCCTCCCCCCCCCCCAGGCTGCGACCCCGTAACAGCTGTCTAACTCCCGGGGACTTATTTCCCTCCGGGAACCCCTGATTGTGAGTGGAGACTGAAGCCATGTTAAAAGGTCATACATGAGTTTGTCAAAAAAAGAAATATACCTTAAAGCAAACAAACGTTTACGGACACACACTAGCGAGCACCAGACACGGGACCTTCAATAGGCGTTGTGGTAGTGAACACAGCGCCTGCTGTATGTAGGTAGACCGGTGTGAATATTTAGTGACTGGTGTAGGTTCCATCAGTTATTAAATACTGCTTGGAACGTAGGCGCTGAAGTAAAAAAAAGTCTTTGAACTTTTTCAAACGTCAAACGAACCTTTTGACTTGCATAAAAAAAGTGTTATTCAGCTATACTACTGGGTCCAAGCATGACGGCCTCGCCTTCAGAAAGACATAACTGTATAGGAAAAGGTTTAGCGCAGTGATAAACAATTATCCCAGAACTAAGTCGCCTCTCATGCCAGACATGACTTGATTTCATCGAGACCTTGGAAAAACTGAGCAAATTGGAAGACATTAATCCAGACCGCTTCTTTGAAAGGTCCAATGGAACTTGCACAAAATACAGTCGTAAAAAATCCTCCGGAACAATGTGGGGCAGGCTTTGACAAGCTACAGGCTTCCTGTCCCCGTCGTGGCTACTTCAGATGGTGGCCTTCGGGTAAATTTCGCGCCCAAGATTTTTTCTCGCTAATTAGATAGTTTATTCCGGAGTTTATGTGTATTCTTATGTTATTCATTGTATAACATAACTTCATTATATCACTCGGTTAATGTCTTCTGGTTTGGGAATACTGTTGAATTATGGAACAAGTCACCGGATAACGCAATAGATATTGGATTGCCGAATTGTTTTAAGCTTAAGTCAGACATACAAGTTTGGTTGGATATAAATAGAGCTGCAGCGCATGGGCTGTGAGACAGCTCTCTTAAGTTTATGTAAGAGTAACAGCAACTCCAAAATCCAGTGATGAACCATTCAATTTTACCCACCCCTTAATCCAACTTCCACAACCTTAACTCGAGACTCTTCGCCTCCCACAAACTTCTTTTCTATCACCTCCCACTTAACAAACCCTTTGGTCACTAAAGTTCCTAAAGGGATCTTTACACCTCGACTGAGAAAAGTTTCTCTTCACAACCCCCACGAGCCTCATTGCTAGCATTATTTTGTCATAACTAATTACCTATAAAATATTATTATTATTTGTACTATATTTAATGTTAGAGGTCAGACACAAATTCCAGTTGAAGTATAGAGAAAACAGTTTATTAATGAATATTATTTACATGTATATACAGAACTGAAGCTGTGCTATTCTATACAAATCACAAAGATTATAAATGGCATGGGTTATGGGGAAAAATACTATCTAAATAAAAGGATTATATTTGAACAAACATATCTATAAGCTAATGCAAGTGTGGTATTAAATGCCTGTGTAAGAAGCCTAGGACAGGCTAGGCTTTCCAGAGGCCAGGACACTGTTGCCAGGATATTGTTACCCGGACACTATTACTCTTGTCTCTAGTAACATATTTTAGTATGGCTAATTTCGTTTAACTAGAAGGTATAATTAGTAATAACTAGTAAGGAGCGTCATTGGATAGATCGTGTGTCTCGCAGCCATACTATTACCGCTCTATCCTCATATGTACCTCACACTGCTTATAAGTTATTTCAATATACAATATATGTGTATGAGGTTTACTTTCATCTTAAGTCTTGAAACTCTAATTTCACAAGTTTATTTTTTTATTCACAATTTTCCGGTGTATAATTAAGCACTTAGATTTTTGTGCATAATTCCTAAATTACTATAATTAACATCTCCATTTTGTGAGCTCTAGTAATTTAGCTACAATGTTCCTCGCATCATTCTCCTCCAAAACAACTTCGCATTATGATTCATTTATTATCGGAACTTGCCACTTAATTTATGTACGTGTTTCCAAGGTTGTGTAATTTGTAGCGGCGATCATCAAGAATATGATCAACTTGCTTGTTGTAGTGTCAGATGTGCAATGTACTTTACTATGTAGAATGACGATCTTAGCTGTGCTCATTTCTGATGCTTCTGCCAGAACTGTTCCTTACAACAACTAGAGTTAAGGTTGACATGTTCTGCATTACTCTCTAGTGTTGTACTATGGCCGAGACGCCTTACTGGGAGTTACAACGCCTCTCCTTCTGGCAATAAACACAAAATATTCTTAAGGCACCGGCTTCCTTTTTCCTCTTGCCCTGCTAGGCCAGATGGGCTGACGGCGGCCAACTTTCCCTGCCACCACACCTGTCAGGTGAAAACTACCACCACTTCTTCCCCCCCAAACCTCCCCACCCCCACCCGGTGCTCCAACACCAGCTCCTCTACCTTCACCAACCATCTACTCCCACACGCCGGGGAGCCCACAACTTATCGCAAACACAAATTAAAGTACCTCCAGTGCTCTTGTGTCTCCCGAGTTAGCTGATACGTTCATGAGTTCGTGGCGCCGTGTTTGTGGTGCATGGTTGTTGTTGTTATATGACGGTTGGTACATGTCTCAGAGCACAGAGTTGTGGTGACGTCATGGTGCCTCAGGACGGACAGTTGTGGTGACGTCATGGTGCCTCAGGACGGACAGTTGTGGTGACGTCATGATGCCTCAGGACGGACAGTTGTGGTGACGTCATGATGCCTCAGGACGGACAGTTGTGGTGACGTCATGATGCCTCAGGACGGACAGTTGTGGTGACGTCATGATGCCTCAGGACGGACAGTTGTGGTGACGTCATGATGCCTCAGGACGGACAGTTGTGGTGACGTCATGATGCCTCAGGACGGACAGTTGTGATGACGTCATGATGCCTCAGGACGGACAGTTGTGGTGACGTCATGATGCCTCAGGACGGACAGTTGTGGTGACGTCATGATGCCCCAGGACGGACAGTTGTGGTGACGTCATGATGCCTCAGGACGGACAGTTGTGGTGACGTCATGATGCCCCAGGACGGACAGTTGTGGTGACGTCATGATGCCTCAGGACGGACAGTTGTGGTGACGTCATGATGCCTCAGGACGGACAGTTGTGGTGACGTCATGGTGCCTCAGGACGGACAGTTGTGGTGACGTCATGATGCCTCAGGAGGGACAGTTGTGGTGACGTCATGATGCCTCAGGAGGGACAGTTGTGGTGACGTCATGGTGCCTCAGGACGGACAGTTGTGGTGACGTCATGATGCCTCAGGAGGGACAGTTGTGGTGACGTCATGATGCCTCAGGAGGGACAGTTGTGGTGACGTCATGGTGCCTCAGGACGGACAGTTGTGGTGACGTCATGATGCCCCAGGACGGACAGTTGTGGACGGAGGTCTGTAGGGACACAAGAGAGACAGTTGTAATAACACCTGGCAATAACCACACTTGAGAGGCGGGACCAGAGAGCCAAAGCTCAACCTCCGCAAGCACAACTAGTCACACTTGTGATAGCCAGCAGAGCACAAGAGCCTCCGGGCCTAAGGCAGTTCTCCTGGAGAGTTATTAGTGCCTCCTGTATCTCCCGCCTCGTGTAATGCAGGTGTGTCTTGTGTCTTGCAGTCACATGTTTAATGTACCATTGGCGAGCATGTCATGGTGGCGGGTGTGAGGGTCCGGTGTAGTGGCGGGTGTGAGGGTCCGGCGTAGTGGCGGGTGTGAGGGTCCGGCGTAGTGGCGGGTGTGAGGGTCCGGTGTAGTGGTGGGTGTGAGGGTCCGGAGTATACACAGTTCACACAGTAAAAGGTTTACAACTGTAACAATCGCCGGACGTATCCCGACAACGGGACCTGAAGCCCCACATTTTCAGTGACCTTCAACACGACCTTTGTGCTGATGGTGTTTACACCCCTGGTGTACCTGGTTGTTATGCACCCCATACCCACCCTGTGGTCGGCGGTGGCAAGGGCACCCCATACCCCCCCCCCCCATATTCCAGAATCATCAAGCATGATGATTCGGACAAGATCGCTAAAGCTCCATGTAATAAACCTGAAATTGAGCTGGACCTAAGCATGTCAATCTCTTGTTAAAGCTGTTCAGGTGTGGTTATGTTGTGGTAGTCCCCCGGCGGGAGGCTGGTTCAGGTGTGGTTATGGTGTGGTAGTCCTCCCGGGGCATGAGAGGTGGTGGGGAGGTGGTGGTGGTGGAGGTAATGACCCGTGGAGGCATAAAAACAGCGGAATTACAGAGCTGCATTAATGACTTTCGGGGGAAGGGAAACACAGGTGAGCTAATATGTAAATTAGAGCAGGACTTCTCGAAATTTAATTTATTTTAAAGATGAGAAACTAAAGAAAAACCTAGAAACATACACACACACACACACACATACGCAGTTGAATGGTGATATAAAAGATGGTAATAAAGGGACTGGTATACCATGTGGAGAAACAAGACGATACACCAAAACTCAAACATGGGGTCCTAGACGAAAAATCCTGCTTCACACGCTTGATAAGCCAAGACAACATAAAACAAACATTACAGAGAAGGGTGGGCATATTGCACATTTTTTGACTGTCAGGAAGCCTTCGGCACAGTTCCCCACAAGAGACCAACGCACAAGTTGGAGAAACAACTGACAGTGACTGAAGGTACATCTAACTCACTGGTTCCCAAACTGTGTAACACGGGTTTGGTTCCCTTCTGAACATTCTTATCTTCTGCTCCCTCTACCCGTATTCTTACTTTTATTTCTAAACCAAGGGACTCCAAAACTTTTAACAAAGCCAACTCCACGCCACGTGGTCCTAAGACGATTGACCGACTTAGGATTCTACACCCAGTATGACGTGACCTAAGCTCTGAACAAAACCCTAGAGTCACCTCTGCTGCCACCACCAGACCAGTAATACAAGAGCAATGATCGAGGTCTGGATCGATCACGCTAATTAATCAACCTAGGGGCTTGATCCCCACTATAAACGATGACCTTGAGTGTGGAATAAATTACACGGTAATGATAATTCCGATTCGATGTTAGAATCGGCGCCCAATGCAACTCTGCCTCGTGTGGACCACGTGACCAGGACAAGTATACACATAAAACACATGGAAACAATAAAATGCAAATTAATAACAAATTTAATTTATTAAAAGAAAACTAAAACAAAATCTAAATATGTTCACTCCCTATCACTTTAACACTCCCTACTTGACCTGAGTGGCAAATGAGAAGACTATCCCTATAATTAACAATAGCAACTATACCTTGGGCGACCAGCTAGATGTTTTGGCTGGTCTTGGGGAGAGGTAAGATGTTTGACCTCTTATCCCAGCTGCTCCCGTTTCCACACTGATCTCTCTCTTGTCTGGTCTACCCCAGACAGAGCATTGTATCCTTCCGCCTAGTCAGTCAAAGTTCTACCAAGTTACTAGCCAGGTTTAAGTTATAACAATTAACCTCTGTTGTACTTAATTGATCCAGACTGGTTGAATTATTTTACTTTAATTAGATTACACAAACATCTAACGGCAAAGCTGTTCCCGATCACAAAAATGGTTATTAAAACTTTGAGAAATATTAGACATGTCAACCCTGCTGACCTATGACCGCCGGTCACTCCGCCTTAAAAGTTAGATCTGATTCGTGACGTCACTGATGGTGACTTAAACTCAATAATTAGAATACTCTTGATATTGTATCCAGTACTATTATACAATACAATTTTAATGCAAAATGAATAAAGGCTAATTTTCTCTAAATTACTGAATACTATAGGATGATTCATTATACGCAGTTATGAACAAAGCGTCGGTTATTTCCACCGCGAATTCCCCTGGGGGTCAGGTCACCATGCGGCTCAGCTTCCCATTCTCTTTTGTCGATAAACCACTCTGGATAATTCTTACAACAGCCTAGTTTGTTACAACTGGGCCATTTTTGCAACATGTAAGGTGCCATAAGGCGAGGCAGTGTACAGGTTATGATAATGAAAGACAAAAATAACACTACAACAATAACATTTATGTTGTTTTCTTTTAATACTGAGTGTAGGGAGCCATTAATAAGGACGCTCTATGGAAAATGGGTTAATGACCGTAAAGAGTTTGGGAACGACTGATCTAACGCACAACTGTGCCAGGTGAGTATGACGGGCTCACCATAGCCCGTGCTGCTTGGAGCTTTTTGTTCCCAGTAGCTGAATCTAACACAACAACGACTGATCTAATTAATACGTGATAGTAAGAGAAGGAAGGTCAGAGTAGCGAGACATGACTATAGCAGGCTCCCACAGAGGTCAGTGCTTGGTCCTATTATGTTCCTGACTTATGTGAAGGATCTCTCTGTTAGACCCTTTCCTCTCAATGTTTTCTGATGACGCACAAACTTACCAGGACAAACACAGGCAGGGAATGGTAGACACTATGGGGAAAGCCTGGACAGACGGTGGGAGGGGCTGGGTGTGGGAGGGGTGCCGTGTTCTGGATGTGGGAGGGGGGGGGGGGCGTGTGCTGGGTGTGGGAGGGAGGGCCGTGTGCTGGGTGTGGGAGGGGGGGGCCGTGTGCTGGGTGTGGGAGGGGGGCTGGGTGTGGGAGGGGGGCTGGGTGTGGGAGGGGGGGCCGTGTGCTGGGTGTGGGAGGGGGGGCCGTGTGCTGGGTGTGGGAGGGGGGGGCCGTGTGCTGGGTGTGGGAGGGGGGGGGGCCCGTGTGCTGGGTGTGGGAGGGGGGGGGCCCGTGTGCTGGATGTGGGAGGGGAGGGCCCGTGTGCTGGGTGTGGGAGGGGGGGCTGGGTGTGGGAGGGGGGGGCCGTGTGCTGGGTGTGGGAGGGGGGCTGGGTGTGGGAGGGGGGCCGTGTGCTGGGTGCTGGGTGAGGAACTAGGTAACCAGGTGGCGGGCGGTTGTGGTCCCAGTATAACTGTCCACACGCACCTCCGTTACACTACAAATACTCTGGCAAATGTTAACATATAGCAACTAGTGTTTTGATTACATAATTCTTGAGCCTGACAGCATACTGGAGAGACACTCACAGCCTCGTGTATCCATCACCTGTGTATTTTTTGTTTGCTTTGAATTGACTCTTAGTTCCGTACCTTAACGGCTGATAATCTCAACACGTTATGGAAATATTTTCTCAGTAAATAACTGATGTTGGGAGGAAAATACTAGTGCTGGCGTCCTCTCAAGTGGGTTAGTGTAGACGTCTGGTTAATTGTTTCCCGTTGTCAGGAGCAGGAAACCTGTTCAGTCTATCACGTCCCCCTTAGGACTAGGCCAACTGCTGACCCTCACCAGGATGCATGACACAACAGTTGTCTAACTCTCAGATACTTACTGTAAGGTGAGCACCCGCCAAACACACACCGAAACTACGACGTTGGTACAACGTTTGAACAAGTTTTAACACCTCCTAACCAGCTATAACAACCAATATAACAAGTTGTAACAACGTTCTAATACGTCATAAACACGTTAAGCCAAGATGTAACAACTTTATTACAAGTTGTAATAAGCGTAAAATAGAGACAGTTTCAGTTTGTGTTTCCAGGGCAGAAGCATGGGATGTAAAGAAACGTGGCCAAAGAGCTGGGTGACAAGGACGAAATGTCATGACGGCAAGATCAAGAACTGCTGCCTGTGCTGTACCTGGGTGAGCTACTGTAGTGTTTCCCATTCCCTGAAGCATCTCTACTCACCTAATTGTGCTTGCGGGGGTTGAGCTTCGGCTCTTTGGTCCCACCTCTCAACTGTCTAGCTACTGGTGTACAGGTTCCTGAGCTTATTAAGCTCTATCATATCTACATTTGAAACTGTGTATGGAGTCAGCCTCCACCACATCACTGCCTAATGCATTCCATCTATTAACTACTGTGACACTGACATAGTTATTTCTAATATCTCTGTGACTCATTTGGGTACTCGGCTTCCACCTGTGTCCCCTTGTGCGTGTACCACCCGTGTTAAATAATCCCTCCTTGTTTACCCTGTCTATTCCCCTGAGAATATTGTATGTGGTGATCATGTTTCCCAGAAATCTTGCCTTCCAGCAACATGAGGTGCAGTTCACGCAGCCTTTCTCCTAACTCGTACCTCTTAGTTCTGGCACTAGCCTAGTGGCATACCTCTGAACCTTTTCCAGCTTCGTCTTGTGCTTGACATGGTATGAACTCCATGCTGGAGCCGCATACTCCAGGATTGGTCTGACATGTGGTATATAAAGTTCTGAGTGGTTCTGAATGTTAGTCTACTTTAGACTAACAAATTTAAATAATCACAGTGGGCCAGACAGTGCTCGGAATTCGTATTCCTAGGGTCCGGGGATCGATCCCCGGTGATGGCGGAAGCAAATGGACAGTTTCTTTCACCCTGATGTTCCTGTTCACGTAGCAGTA